AAACGAATTACAGAAAGGAGCCGGCCGGAACATCACACCTAATCTCTCTCCGTCTAATGTTCCTTTTAGGTAAGTGCTCCTAAGTACGTATTTATCTGCCGTTTACTCCTTTTCTGTTTTCTTCGCGTCGTCGATTATTTAGCTATTCTTTCCTCTTTAATTCTTTCTACGAGCGGGATTCTTGATTTTTGCGACGTTTCATGTACATACATATAATCCTTACTAATCTTACTATTGACCCTTTTCCTGTAAGCAAAGTGAGTAGAGATTATATAGATTATAATGATATAGAGTGAGACAAAATCGCGCAGTTAAATTAACCAATGGGCGACGTATTACGCATGTGTTTCCGGCTGCATTCTGTCGACTTCAAAAGTGGTTTGTTGTCACAGGCATTTGCTCTTTTGTGTTTGCTCTGCTGCTCCTACATCCGTTGATAACAGTTCGTTTATTTCTTCAATTAACGTGTATAATATACTTATAAGTATAATTCACTCTATTTATTTGTAAAGGTAAGTAGACGCAAACACGGAATGGGACTATTTGGCGCGGCCGACTTGGCGCGGCCAACTTGGCGCGGCCGACTTGGCGCGAGCTATTTTGGCGCAAAGCCAACTTGGCGCAGGGACACTTTGGCGCAAGCCATCTTGGCGCGAGCCATCTTGGCGCGAGTACGCCGGTATATAATATAAAAAATATTTATTGTTCGTACTTTGGTTGGCACCCTGTTATTTATGCTAAGTGTAGACAACCAAATACACATTTTCATTCGCACAAATTCCAATAACTAAATGATCCACGGAGCAAGAAGTTCCACGTTTAGGAGTATGTTTATAATGGGGTGCAGGGCGCGAAGCGCCCGTGTGTCCATTAAAAAGTCGACATTACCCCTCCCCGCGTTGGAGACTATAAAAATTAGGTTATTTTTGGTGCAATTTTTGTATATTTATATCTATTTTTCTTGGTGCAAGTTCATTCGCGCCAAGATAGCTCGCGCCAAGATGGCTTGCGCCAAAGTGTCCCTGCGCCAAAGTGTCCCTGCGCCAAAATGTCTCGCGCCAAATCGGCCGCGCCAAGTTGGCCGCGCCAAGTCGGCCGCGCCGAATTGTCCTAGACCGGACGCAAACACTTATTAGTGCGTCTATGGCTTCACATCAATTTAACTCCCATTATAATTCAGCGGGCCCTCACAGATGTGGTGTGGTGTGGTTTGCATTTGCTAAGTTTTATGAAGGGTCGGCTATAAAGTACTTTAAATGTCAAAGCCATAAATCCACTAAATGTTTGCGTCTAGTATACTACTTTCACATACAGTCGACTGAATATTTTAAATAATGTGAATCAACTATTTATTAAGTTAAATCCTTTCCAGGTTTTTAATAATGTGGGAAAATGTGTGTTAAAAGTGTAAACTTGGAATCCATAACTCAATTCTTTATCAAAAAATGTAGGTAGGACGCCTAACCCTGCAGATAAAAGTTCCAAATACTTAGAAAAAGGGTATACCTAGTACATGAGGTTTACTCACGTGGGTTAAACGAAAAAACATGACGCCACATGATATGGTGTTGACTTTTGAAGCAAAAAACGATACAGAAGTTTGCGTATCTGAAGCTTCTTGTTCCTGTAAAGATGGGTAAATATTTAGTATAATACTTTTGAAGAAAATGGGCTAAATATAAGTATGTTCTAGCAACTCGGAATCATGTCATCACATACTGGCAATGGGTTTTTCCATTATTAAGTATTTGAAAATGGCGTTAATCCAAATATCTGAAGACGAGTCGTACACTTCAAAACCAATACTTTGGAACCGACCTCGTGGCAGAAAAATTAAACCTCAACGATTAATTGCAATGATATTTTTTAAACCACACAAGGTGAACAGAAAAAGGCAGCCAGTGAAGAGGATTTTTTTTGTTTTTAATTTTAATAATAATGAAAAAACTTTCAGAGTTTAAATAATATATTTGTAGTCACTGCTACACGTTGCTGCTGATTCCAGTTTCTCTTCTGCCTGAAGACGGTACTGTGTACCGAAACACGTGTAGCAGTGACTACAAATATATTATTTAAACTCTGAAAGTTTTTTCATTATTATTAAAATTAATATGGAGTTTAAACACGTATCAGCCTCATCAATACAAACATACAAAAAGAATTTTTTTGTGCCTTTGAAACAAGGTATAATGCCATTTTTAATAATGAAAGTGTAAGCTCTTTAAAAGATGCTATAAAAAGGGAGAAGTCATGTATCCCGGCAAGTTATTTAATTAACAATGACTTTGCATTAGTTCGCTACCTTTATTAATTTTTTAGGTTTGTAAACTGTGTGCAGTCAAAAATAGTTTCTCTCTAAAAAGTTAATTTTCAGAAGTCCAAGTACCTGAAAATTCGACGTTGGAGTTTCACAGCAGATCTAGTATTGCGCCGTTAACATTAAGAAAACAAAATGAAGATATCAGGAAAGCGGAACAATTACCTATAGTATTACCGATGTGGGATGCTGAGATAAATAATATTTTATTAAGTATGTGAAGCACCAATTGATCAATTTCCTGATGTCTGTTAATGAATGTTCTGAAATAGAGCAGCAAACAAGGGAACAAGCAGGTTCTAATCGGTGGCGAGATGAAAAAAAAAAAAGATTCACAGCATCTAATTTTGGCTTCATTTGCAAGAGAACACTGTTTAACGAAAATTTTTATAAAGCTGAAGGAGCGAAGAAACACGTCACCCGCTTGCCGGGCAGGTGCCCTTACCACTAGACCACGAGGCCGCTGATCTTTCTCCGCTTACCTACGTGTTATTGTACCGCCACAAAGCTTTGGTAGACAAAACAAATCTTGATCACGTGCCCGCAGTAAAGCATGGAATCAATTATGGAAGCTTTGCTAGGGAAAAATATTTAACAATAAGTGGTAACAAATGTATTAACAATTGGCTGTTTATTCATCCATACGCTCCCTATCTTGGCACCAGCCCTGATGCCTGATGGCATAGTTTATAATAACGGCTTCTAGAAATTAAATGCCCCTGCAGTAAAAAAAAATAATTCATTATCTAGTGCTTGCATAGCAAAAACTTTTTGCTGTAAAGTGGACGAAAACAATGTTATTGAAGTTAAAAAAACTCACGATTATTACTTTCAGTTGCAGGAGCAAATGCTCTTAAATGGGCTTAGATGGTGCTATTTTGTGTTGTATTTCAAAGAAAGCAGTGAAATTCATTACGTAACTGTACATTTTGATACACACTTTTGCATTAAAATGTATGAAAATATACACATAGGAAATATTTTTGAGGAAATAAATAAATTTTTGTTAGACAGTCAAGGGACTTTTTATTTATGTACACTCTTACATGATGCAAACAAGCAGTTCCATACTACCTAATCACGATACTTACAGTATTGACACAAATACATATTACTATGAATGCAATATCGTTGTAAGCTGTAAGACAATAAAATGGTTTTTATTGTTCTCATCGTAGAAGTTACATTAACTACAACTATTTTTTGGGTCGCAGAGAATTTGAAAAATTTGTGAGCAAACAACATACAATACTTATAAACTTGTTCAACTAAACCTAAAGAAGACATTTTTTACCATTGTTAGAGCCGTTTTAGTCGTCACAGAATTACTCCGAAAATGACCACGCAAATTACTTCTACCAAAATTTATGTCAGAAGTTCCTCTCTGTTTTCAAAAGTCGCATTGTACAGGAAGATTTCGAACTATATGAAGTATTTTTAACCCCGGCATCATGTGCCGTAGTAATGCGGATATATAGAAAAAAACAAACTAAAAGTCGAATGGGACAAAACCACCCTCGATGCGATGCCAGTAATCCACCTTTTAAACAGTAGGTGGAAAAACGTTCAAATAAAAACGATGTAAACACTTTCAGTTTTAATTAAAAGTAAAACCGACCTTTTCCTGGTTATTATTCGTTCATTAATGTATTCATTCATCGTTAAACATCAGTGCGAAAGACTATTCGTTATAGATTAAACAAATGATGGTCCTGAGTAGGACCAATTTTTGGTAATCGACTTTTTTGGAAAATTAACGGGCTCCAAAGCTTGACTTTCCGAACGTGGTATATGGATATAGGCCTTGTTCTTTTAATGTACGGTGCGCTACAAACTCTGACAACTTCAGCTATAAGTTGGCGGGTGCTGCTGTTGGGCTCTTCTTCAACGCGTTCCAAAATTTGTTATTCAGTTTATAGAATTCTTTCGGTCCTATCACGACCACAATCGATTTGGAAAGCGCTCGATCCACAATTCGTGGCCACCGGCGTTTCCTTCAATGACACCGTAAAGCATTGCCACGCTCTGAAATGGCAAAATTCACCGTTGTCAAAGACGTTAACCGAACACACGACGGCAACCAACTGACGCATGACTGGCACTTACAAGTTGCCGCTTTTTTGGTTCTTAATCCTAGTTGTTCTGTGCCATTCATTTAGGTCAAGAAACACTACCAGTGGCGTGTGTAACAATTTATATTTAATTTCAAATAATTTTTTCTAGACATTACTACCATTTCGGAATGTGAACTTTACACAATAATCTTATTGTGAGCTATTCCCTAGTTTTTTTTATTGCACACTTTTCGAAATTAGGATGTATTTATGGATTAGATTTTTTCTTGCAAATTGAGGCCTGGTTAATTTAATATATAAATAAATTAATTTTTCATCGATTGGTCACTTTAAGCGTGTAATATCTCTAATTTTTAGTTTTTGTAGACATTATTTACATTAGATGTTTTAACTGACCAAGTAGAATAAGTACGCCACTGGAATGAAGAAGATTTAGATTTATTCGGCGGTTATTATAGACAACCAACAAAACTTGGGAGAAGTGAGTAGGTGTTTATCAGATTGCATAAAGTGTTTGCGGTCAAAAGTTCACGAGTTCATTGATTCTTGCTACCCAATTTATTTGTAAATGACAACATTAACTGATTCCAAGTGCGCATTAGTATTAATTGTGATATTTTTGATCTTCTTGACTAAAATAATTAACATCTATCTTTAAGTGTCCCTCATTTTCTTTATTAAGCCCGCTGTAAATTCCACTCATTTTAAAAATAAGTTGTTGTTGCCAAATGCACTAACCACGCTGTTTTGAAGAAGAAAAGGCAAAGAAAGCCGACCTTGAAGTATTTTTGAATTTTTTTTGTGTTATTTCCTGTGCTTTATTGCCAGATTTCCCACCAACATCGCCTGTCAGCATGATTCTGTCATTTTTCCCCTCTAACCGTTGTTATTTTAGGTTAGAAATAAAATGTATTGTTTAATCTTGTAATTTCTTTCGATAGTTAACGACGTTTTCCTCGACAAATCTCTCAAAATGAAAGTGACAGTGACCACATTGACCGACTTTATTTTTGTTTTGGATGTATCTGAAGATCTGGAGTTAGAAAATTTTAAAGCATTTTGTGAAGTAGAAACGGGATTTCCGGCCTCCGAAATCGTCATCGCCTTCAATGGGATGCCTCTGATGGACAACAAGAAATCGCTAAAAGAGCATGGTATTCGCGATGGAGACGCGGTCATTCTTCAGCACATGCTGCAACATGGAGCCTCACAGGTCTCCATCGAGTCGCAAGGAGGAGGAGGTAATGAAAACGGCACTCCCAGAAAATAATATTTCATTCAGATGTATTTTAGTGCCCACTTTAGATTTTAGTGGAATTCAAGTCCCCCATATAGCACAAGGTAACAGGCTGTCACCTGGTCGGCCTTCAGAGGACGATCCTGTTTTGATCAGGGATATGTTTTTGGCAAATCCGGATCAATTAGCTTTGTTGAAACAGAATAATCCACGACTCGCAGACGCCTTACTCAGTGGAAATATAGGTAAATCTAATATGCAAATCTTTTATTTGTTGTCTGTATGGCGGTTTGTGCTGATTTTTTTAAGTGTTTGTAATTTTTGGGTCTAATTTGGTAATTTTAATCGCGATACAATATTCATTAGTTGTTATAGAAATTAATTTGAATTTTTCGGCTGTGAAGTAAAAATTTGTAAACACCAGCTTTATAAAAGAAAAATGAGTCATCTAATCGTTGTTTTAAAAAGAATGTTCTTTCAGCTTTGTTCATTTTGTAGAGGTAAGATTAATAGCTAGGTGGTAAATTTATTACGTTCAGTGCACAAATGTGTTGACATTTTTGACATTTTGAGGTTTTGTTTCAACAAATGAATCATGGGATTATTTTTTTAATAAAATAAATAGAGGCGTAGTGGTGCGGCTGGAAAAATTTATCTATTGCGTTGTATGTACGAGTATATTGCGTCTGTTTACAATTTCAGGTTTTGCTTTGACATACGAGCTGTAAGAGGGCGCCACTTAACATTTTTTTTAAACATCTTATTTTTTTCTTTCTATCGACCAATTTAACAAAACTTGTCATTTTGATTTACAAGGGAGGATTTAAAAATAATTTTTATTAATCGAATATTAATGCTTGTAATTTTCGTGTCAGGTTGGGAACATATTTAAAATTTTGTTCATGTACCTGATTTCAAATTGACATTTACGACACAAAGTTAGTTATGTTCCATGTTTTTACCACGTTTGATAGGCACACTCATGTCAAAGCGACAACTGTGAACCCTGTGAACTGACATGCTAGCATTGCTGCCAATAATTCAGAATTACCAAAACAATAATTTGCTTCAATCATTAATAGTCGCCCGGTATTTACGATGTTTTTTGTGTTATCATCTATCCTACAAGGAAACGAAAGGATTTTTTTAAGTAGTTAATGTTAAGTAAGATAATGTTTGGTTAAATTTTAATTATAGCAGGCAGACGAAGACATTTGTTTATAAATAAAATCAAGGTCAATATTGTCATTGAAGTGTTAATCATACTCAACAATTTTGGGGTGCTATGTGTAACAGACAGTAAAAGTTGAAAGTGACAAGTTGAAGGTGGGTTGATGCGGTATTGACAATTTTTTTCAATGAAACAAGCCTTGAAAAACATGTAGCACCCATAAGTTACGAAAAAGGTGGAAAAAAAACGTGGATTTACTTATGAAATATTTAAATAATTATTTCTAAAAAAACTCAGTGGTCTTGGAAATTCATAGAAGATGGACAAAGGCCGGAGTTGTACGGATGTTCAATAAAAAATATATTTGGAGCAGGCGGTGAAAATTCAATTGTTTACGCCTTTTTTAAAGTGTAAAAAGAGTTACGTCAAAAACGACGGTTATTGAAAATGACTTTTGACATCAAAATAATGTTGGGTTAGAAAACATTTTCTCATTTTAGTGCATATCTACTTAATGTAGATTAATGAAATAAAATTAATAAACAATTACAATATTATTTCATCCACAAATTGGCAACTGCTTCAAAATTCATTTATTTTTAAAAAGGCAAACGACAAGAAGTTATTTTTGAAATAAAAAAAATAAATGGAAGTAATCAAAATCATAATGATTATAGTTTCACTTCATTACAACAGTTCCCTCAGACAAATTTTTATTTCTTTAGAAAGTAAAACAAAACATTCTGCATAAGTCAGTAGAACATTTTGTCGTGTGACATTTGTTACATTTTAATAAATAATTTTAACATTAAACTACAACAAATACTGGAAGTGGGAACCCCTTTCTTGTAAATACAACCCAACCCTTCACCGTACTGTCTTGGCCACACTTTTTAAAACATCTGCATTGTTATTAATTTCATTAATTTGTGTGTTATCTTATTCCGCAATTCTTACAAATCATGTAATGGTGTTTTATAAATAGAATTTTTTATATGTGGCCGCAAGAAATCGCAAGGAGTGAGATCATATGATCTAGGCGGCTAGTTGTTTGGTGTATTGGGACTAATAATCCAGTAGCACCATCCTGCTGAAAATAACCATAAACTAACTCCTCATCATCATGCAGTTGATTTAAAAGTGGAGTTAAAATTTCGTCTCAATATCTTGCAGTATTTATGTTTTCTGAAAACATCATTTATCTAGAGTACGTGTTTTATTATGCCATACTGGTGTGTATATAATTGACATTTTCGCGTTGTCAGTTGTCATCGATTAAATTTAAGATTTATTGTAGACATACTTGGCAATTTTACAAAAATTAAGGTCAATTGATGACTTTCTCAATTGAACACCTGATATATTCGGTTGCCTACTTAGTCTTCAAAAATAATTACCAGAGTTAGGTACAGCCGAAGTGATGGGGAATCGATCAGACAAATATTTAAAACGACGGCGCGACGTCAGGCGATAAATTTGGCTGGCCGAATGTGCAGTTTTCTGCAATTCAGGGTTTATCTGATCATCACCAAAATTGTGATATCATTTTTAATTTTTAGAGCATTTTAACATCTAGGAGAACTCGTATAACTGAGGAAAACCTAGAAAAAGTAAAAAAATACACAATAGTTTTCTTGCAAATTTCAAACACAAATTTTGGTAGTAATTTTCGCAGTAATTCTGTGACGTGTAAAGCGGTTCTAAGGCTAATTAAATAATTATTTGTATCACAAGGTCACAAACTGGGCTTTTACGAAGATGAGTGAATTTGTCGGCCTAGGCTAGATAAAATTATTACCCATTATATTATTTTTGACGGTATATAGATATTCATGGAAATGAGTATAAGTAACCCTCGATAGCCTAAAATTGTTAGGACCATCCCGGCGACCAAGAATCGGTAATTCGAATTTCCCTTGACACTGAATATTTTTTCCTAGTCTTTATAGGATTTTTTTAACAATACACACATTATTTACTTTATTGATTCCTAAAATAAAATGCACATATTTTAACACTTACCTTACATTGGGTATTTTAGCTCAAAGCTTACAAAAACTTTGCTTTATAGCAGAAACATGCGTAGATAACCCAAAGTCTCTCTATTAGTAAAGTCTACATAAAAATTTCAATCTGAATGCAAAAGATTATTCACTATTATACATATATTCATTCTTTATTAATTAATTATTATTATACTGTATCTGAAAATTAGTATTTCTTAGTAGGGCTAGCAGTTCTTAAAATGGCGGCCGGCGGGAGTGGACATACGCGGACCTTACTAATAGATTTCTAGCTAAAATTTGATGGGTTCGTTAGTATTTTCGGGTCAATAGGGTGCCGGAAACGCTAGAAAACACAAGAAAAATCTTGGAAAAGTAACATTTCTGAAGTTTTTTAACGAATTTCATGAATCTACAAATGCCAGAATGTAGAAAATATACTCAATCGTCTCCTTTTCGCAAAATAATTCGCAGAAGTCGTACAATTCGACAAAAGTGAGACTTGTATCTAAAATTTGGGGCTTTCCTTGGTATTTTCGGAATCGTACGGTACCAGAAACACTAGAAAACATAAGAAAAAGCTTGTATAATAAAAGTAAAAAATTCGTTTAAATAATAAAAATATTACTTACTAGATATGCTCTGAACAGACATTTAGATTTCTTAATTGAGGTACATACATTGTTTAATTTCAGAGATCCAATTCTTTTCTTTGGTGTTTACTATGACATCTCATAGTCTTAATTTTACTTTGTAATTTATGGTCATTTTCTTTCGATATTATCAAAGAGGTGTCATCAGCATGTAAAATTACACATAGATCGTTATTAACCCAGGAGAAACAGGACAAATCCTAAAATCGATCCTTGTGATACTCCAATAGTTATGTTAGTTAATGAGGATATCTGAGAATAAATATTATTACTATTTATTGTTACATACTTTTTCTGTTATTCGGATGTTCGGATGTTCATTCCCTCTTATACCATAATTACGTAATTTGTCTAATAATGTGGTAATTAACAGAATCAAAAGCACGATAAAGAAATAAAAAAGAAACCTACAGGATTTTTTTTCTCTGAATATTTTATAATGTAATAATAAAATTCATGTAAAGCTGAGTGAGCAGATCTACTCGTCCGAAAACCAAACTGTGATTCAATGAATTTCGTTATAAAATTATTCAATCTTGATAATACTTAATATCAAAAAAAAAAAAAAAATCAAATACTCATCAAAAAATGTAAAAAAAAAATATTTATAAAGATAAGACTGATTTTGGCAAATGAAATAACTTCTAAGAAAATAAAGGGCGGGTGGGTGGGGCTAGCAATTGTTAAAATAAGATTGATTTTGGCAAATGACATACCTTCTAAGAAAAGAAAGGGTGGGTGGGTGGGGCTAGTATTTATAAAGATAAGACTGATTTTGGCAATTTTGCTATTATTTGCTAAGCTAAGGCTGAACAACATCAATATCTTTAAATCTGCCAAGAAATGACCTCCTGAATTTTTGTGAACACTCTGCATAATTTTTTTTTTTTTTTTGAAAATCTGTTATGCGTAGGGTGAAAACTCAAGGCGGATTTTTTATTTCTAAAATTTAACTAGTTGTATCATGCAAAATTTTGAGGTGACGTCAACAAAGTGTTGATGGGGATAACTGGCCAAATTTTGGTTTTACCATTTAAGGACAGAAAATCTTAAAATAGCTCAAGGAGTAACCCCCTGAATTTTTGCCGCATTTTTAGTAAATTGATAATTATACATATATTTTTTTTAGAATATTTGGATGTTTAGGGTAAAAATTCAAGGCCAATTTTTATTTTTAATGTGTTCAAATATGACCAGCAAATTAATTTGTCAAAGGAATTAATAATGAACGTTTTATATTTACTTATAAAACTTGTACCTCTGAAATTTCATGAAAAATTTTGAAGTGTACGATAATAATTAACCCTCATCAGACGTTATTTTTTTACTGTCCGGACGTAAGCTAGGAAAGTATTGTAATAGGGTCCATCCGGAACGGCTAATTTCATATGTTCTCCACGTTTCATCACCCTTAAAGTATGAAAAAATAGGTCCTAGTCTGTTTCTCGTCTGTGGTCGATTGTCTGGTCACCCCAACTATCAATTTAATGATGTCATCTGAAAATTTTGTACAGTAAATGCTATTTCAATTTTATAAAATCGCAGGCTTCTATACTTGTGGTTTATTAGTCCGCCTTTATTTTTTACCTTAGATACTCCGATTCTTGGAAAAATAAATAAAAATTGTATAAAAATATTCCACGATTTAACTTTGAAATTGTGAAACCGAATGCAAAGGTGTTCGTTAGCACGGTAAATTGTTAATTAAAATTTATCTATTTCCCACTCCCACTGGCTTTGCAGTACAAAATTGTGCTGGATAAATGTGTACAAACTGTGGAAAAACTTGTGAGTCATACTTGTGGTTTATCCACGTATTCATATTTTTAAGAATTGTTTACGCAGGATGACTCAAAGACATTAATGAATAAAGCAATTTATTTTATTGATAAATTAAGAAGAATTTTCTAGAAAATTTGGGAAAACAATACTGTTATTATTAATATAGCTCTAACAGTTCACACACAGCTTTATTATAACTTATAGGGGTTATCGATAAAAAATAAAATTCGCAAAATCAAGTTTTATAATTTATCCAAGAAACTGGGTTGAAATTTTGTCTCAAGAATCTTACGATAGTTTCACGGAACTATATTCCGTTTACCGAACAGATGGAGTGATCACTTGCCTACAAAGTGAACGTCCAAGTTTACACGATAATATTGAAATTGAACGTATAAAGTAACTTCATGGGGATGTTCGAACATATTTTACCATTTTATAAATTTATATTATGTTATATATTCCTTTACATTTGTTTCTGTTTTTTTTGTAGATAATTTTGCCTCAGTTCTTCGAGAACAAGTTCAGGCTAGACAAGAACGCGAGCAACAGAGATTAAGAATGTTAAACGCTGATCCTTTTGACACCGAAGCCCAGCGACTAATTGCCGAAGAAATTCGACAGAAGAATATAGAAGCCAACATGGAAGCAGCAATGGAATATAACCCCGAATCCTTCGGTACAGTCGTTATGCTTTATATAAATTGTAGAGTAAACGGATACCCCGTCAAAGCCTTCATTGACTCAGGTAATTTGAAGTGTAGTCCTCTTAACCCAAAAAATATTCATTTAGCGGCTATGTTTAAGGTGCTCAAACAACAATTATGTCCAGTAGTTGCGCCGAAAGGTGTAATATTATGCGTCTGGTAGACACAAGATGGGCGGGTATTGCGAAAGGTGTGGGCGTCCAAAAAATAATCGGCAGGATCCACATGGTACAAATTCAAATCGAGAGCGATTATTTGACAACTAGTTTCTCCGTTCTCGAGAACCAGCCAATGGACATGTTGTTGGGCTTGGACATGCTCAAAAGACATCAAGTAAGTCGCAGTTGTTGAAAAAACAGTGTTACCAATGCTGAAAATGTGCTCATTCTTTGTGACGAATTTTACATGCGTTTTATAGTGTTGTATAGATTTACGGGCAAACGTTTTAAGGATTGGTACTACAGGAACTGAAACGAAATTTCTTGCCGAAACCGACCTACCCGAGTGCGCACGACTCAGCACTAATAGTGAAGACGATGTGATCACTAGGTCGATAAAAGAAACAGAAGATAGGCAGCTTCAAGAAGCGTTGAGAAATAGCCAGTTGTCAAGTAAGTGTCGGGAAGTCGTCATTTTTGTTTGTCTAATTTTCGTTCCAGAGAGAAGTAAGCGGCCGAAGACGAGCGGCAAGTAAATTTTATTCTTCCTAAACTCGTTGTTAAGATGGTTTTTTTAGAATCGCAGAAAAAGTCGAAAAATAGCGGCAGATAAAACTCGGATAGTAGCAAAAATTTTGGTTTCAAAACAACGGTTATGTTGGTCTGCTTCCAAATTTTCGTCAAAATCTTTGAAAATTTGTATATAGAGAACTTTTCACAACTTTATTGTAACGATAGTAATACATGTTTTGGGGTTTTAATGGAAATCTTTTAATAACGACTTGATTTTTTCATGTTTCTAATCGTTCTTATTCAAGTTGTATTACAATGTTTTTAATTACGTATTCAAAATTAAAATTCTCGATTTTTAAGTGTTGCAAATGTTACAGATCCCGCCAGTGGGTCCAGTTCGTCTCAAACTTCCAAACCGAGCACAACCTCAGCCAATACTCAGATCTTACCATCAGACAAATTTACTGAAAGTGATATAAACGAATTGACAGCATTAGGTTTTTCAAGAGAACAGGTCATATCCGAATTGCGTGCATTTAACGGTGATAAAACGCAAGCGACAGGGGCACTGTTTGCTAAGTCTTTAAAATTTTAAGTGCATTTAAACTGGTCACTCAGCTTCTTATTCATAAGATTTATTGGATACTTGATATTGTGGTCGATAATAATTCTTTACATATCTACAATATGTGAACTTTTTCGTTTGATTGGCTGGTCCATTGACAGTGTTCAACATATATTTAAATCTTTGCCTGAAACGTAAACGAACATCTATGACAAAAATTACAAATGTGGATTTTTATATTGATCATGCATTTTTATAAGACTGTATTTTAAAATTTTTTCACATTGGTGTACAGATCGCTCTTGGTATCGTTTTAAATACGGTGTTTTTTCTGACTCTTAAGATGAATTAGTGTGAGGTAACGCAGTACGTGTCTGTAGGTAGTCTAATTTTTGATTTGATAGGCATTTTTACTCGGTAATTTTCATTGATCTTCGCTGAAGGCCTCTGTTTACCGCAGTACGCTATAGGGTTGGCATAATATATATTTTGATTTATTGTAAGGAGTGTAATGGCGGGTATTACAGACATTTTTTTGGCTGACTTTAAATTTATTATTGTTGCTACATACTTACGTGGTCTTTAATCAGAATACACTAAGTAGAGTCACTATTTATACATGTGGAACTTATATGATCTACTTATGTATTCCTGCAACGTAGTACATTTTTTATGTATGTATATTGATGGGTTTTCATATTGGTACTGATATTGAAAGGGACTTGCGTTAATAAAAAACGATATTATATGATGTTGTAGTTTATTATTGAATTCCTTGTCACACGCCAATTCTGTTTCAGACTACAAATTTTAAAGTTTTATCTTTCATTAATTTAAATAGTAGCGGATTTACCTAAAACGCAATAAATAAATCGTCAGATGGTGAAATATCACAGCTCTTCCTTACGCCTTTTCAAAAAGTCTTGTGTTAGAATGACGGTGTCACTTATATTTTCGGCAGTAGTTCTTTTGTTTCTGCGTTTTTCTTTGAACGATGGGTCAGCGTCCGTTAAACTGATTCGTGATACCACAGAATTATCCCTAAAAAACGTTTAAAAATATCTAAACATTCAAGGATTAAATGCCACTAACTTTTGTAAATCGGCGTTTACAGTAACATCACGTGGTTTACTATAATCGCATTCTAAGTGGAAAGCGGCGTCACCTGGCATTATCAATTCTTTGTCATGTTGCAAAACCAAAGTATTGGAATATATTTCGCCCTTCTGAAAAAGATTGGCTTTGTATGTAGTTAGTTCTATACATTATTTTCATCTGTTTGACTGTCAACTAAAGGTAAGGCGTTGTGTTTATAAAAAAGGTGAGTAGTTTCAAATTTTTGTCCTTGTTTTACTTTAGATAGAGGAAGCACCTATTGTATTTACCTTATGAGTATTACATTCATCTAGCGGAAATTTGATAGAAAATGACCTTTGTCCTTTTCTGTAACCAGGATCCAAAAAACACGATGATTTTTTATCAGAGAAACTTCCTCTGGTATAAATTACACCTTCAAAGTCCTCTTCCGTCTCCAATTTTACCACCATTGAGTTAGAACCACACTTCAGTTGGACGCTTTTGTATCCCTCGTCGCTTAAACCAATGGTCATTTGATTACCTATGTCGGTCTGAAATATACCTACAACATTCCGTAACGTACAATAAAAACAGTTTTTTCTTGAATGTATGGCGTATGTTATACCTACCATCTTTCTTATCGCAAACGATGCCGCTCAGTTGTACCATTAACACGAAAAGTGTTACTAGTTTTGAGAAAACAAAGGAACAAAACATTTTTTCTTTACAACTTGTGGATCATTTTTAGAGATCAGTGAAGAGTGTCTTCCTGACGCACGACCGCGAACTTTCATCGTGAGTAATGTCCGGAAAGGTAAATGAACTGTTTGAATCACCTTGACTTTGTCATCCATGATGTACCGTTTTTTATCTGTTGCATTTAAATAATTAACATATATGTGGTTTTTTTGTTTATTTTTGAGTGATTGGAATTCTGAAGTACTTTTTTCTTTAAAAATTAATGCAAAAGAGATTATTCCGCCGCAACGTGCACGTGCACTGTGTAATAACAATAACTGTTAAGCGGTACTCTGAAGTCACATCAGAATTTACATATAGAATGAGGTAAAACAAAACTAGTTTACCCAATTGAGCCCAGGTGAATGTGTGGATTAAAATATGGATATTAAGGCTACAAGTGAGTGATTAAATAAATATTTGGCCAGAAATAAATCTGATGGTATTATAAAACCAGAACAGTAAAGTTTTATTAACAGCAGTAAAAAAGTTTTTAAAATCTAGACCGCCGTCGATACTCTCATGAAAATAATTCCCGTCGTTCTTGTTCTCATTTGCACGTAATGTAACAGCACTGTTGTGCGTGGCTGGAACAAGAAAAACTGCAGCGTTCAATCTAGTCTTTGCCGTTGATTTAGACAGAATTTCTGTTTTTATTCAGTAAAGTATTGTATTGGATTTTTGAGGTGATGACCTTTGTAATATCTGTCAATAAATTTCATGTTCCAATTAAATATGGTGTCATATTGTAATTGAAATTACCAATAGCCTTGGTGTTGATGGTTATTGCATTTTAGATATATCTGTTAATTAATTCTTATCTAGGTCAATTATAATGTTAATTATAAGTTTTAAAGGGATAGAGGCCTTAAAAATTGGTCTGTGACATTCCGACAAAATTCAGACATGCGCACAAAATTATGAAACCCGAGAACCATTGAAATTCCTCTATGATCTGTAATTGTCAGAACGAAGAGGTGAACCTCGTTTAGTAAATTTTGTTAAAATGCGGTTCCTCTTATAATAGCCCAAAACTTTGAGAGTTTGCGGCATCCTAGCTGAAGTAGATAGATCAAAATATCACCCTTCTTCATTGATTCTACTTCATATACACAGGTATAACAGACACTCAGCATTTCTATTATGAAAAAACCTGCCGCATATTATATTCTCTACCCGGTTTTCGCAAACTAGCCAACAGACACTGTTAAACTAAACTGCGCGTTTTTCTCTCCCGATGAAGATTCAATTTCAGCAAATATTTGGCCAATGACAAAACCGCAAAGTTTAACTAAAAACCGTGTATTCCGCGTTCGTCACGACTTAAGAGAATAGTTAGATCTGAAACAAACTATTTAACCTGTAAGAAGATATGATAACCCTCGCATTTTCCGATATTAATTTAACTGACGTTGGCTTGGTAGTTAATAAACGGGTGGAAGCCTTTGTTTAACGACAATTTTCGACCAACGCTAACACGTGTAAATTTGATTCATTGTTTGTAAATTCACAGTTCATGTTAGGATTTTAATCGTTAACTCTGGTTCTAACACAAGCCTAACCGTCAGAGATTGTTCCGATAAAGTACTTGGTAGGAGATTTTTTTGTTTACCAAATTATAAATAACATTTCTGGATGTAAATACTTAAGTGTTACATTATAACAATTCTTCATTCTTCACACAAGATTGCTAATAGCAATTTACGGCAGTTAAATTAACCTAAAACGTTGCGCTACTGTAGAAAAAAAGCGTAAAAGGCGGCATAATTCAGAAAATCGTCGACTGAGGGGCTGAGGGATTAATTTTCACCCTTAGGCAGTTATTATCATCGTTATCATCATCACATCACCGAGACGCATTTTTCCTCGCAACTCAGGACGCATTTTGTGTTTATTTATCATGTGTTTTGTTTGGGATAAACAGTCCATGATATAAACCCTCAAAGCAAACTGTTTTCAAGTAACCAATCACTTCGATCATGGCATAATGTAACACGTAATTTTGTTAGCTTTGCAATTTTTCACCTCATGCAATTTTTCTTTGTTTCACAATTTTAACTTTAGTAATTTTCTTTGTTGTATAATTTAAAATGAAGGTAAATTTTCATGCTCTGCAGCTTCTAACCTCATGTAATTTTTGTCTGCACAAGTTTTGCTTCACACCAGATCTTTTTGTTTTTACAAATCTTTGCTAGTTTTTTTCATGTAAATATTTTGTTGATGAATGTTTCCACTATATAAATTATCTGATATCCAATCTCAATCTCACATAAGAATTCTTTGCTGTTTAAATATTTCACATGAGTGTATGGCGAATTCAAATGTTATTTATTGCTCTTTTTGAAATTTTGACACTTGTTCAGTTGTAGTTTAATATCAGAGTCATAAAAATTGAACATTTAAATGGAATCGAGATTAAATAACACCGAAATACGAGGCAGACGCAGAGGGCGCGGTTCCTAGTCGAGCTGGCACAAAAAATCGTATATTGAACAAGATTTTGATATATTTTCATCAAAACTTGTTGACCTTAAAAGCTCTGTCAAACAAGTTAATTGTTATTTAGTTTATTTATTTTTACAACTTAATAATTGCCTGTTGAGTTGATTTCTTCGTAATAATAGTAATAATAATAAATAATAATAAAAGATGCTGCTTTGTATAGAAGTCAGGGGCGGTCGAGATGACGTGACGCTGTCGACTTGGACCAATAGTCTTCTCGTCCGGCATGTCCGTAATAGAGAAGTGCTGTGCGGCAGTGCTTGTGATAGATAGAATCACCGTCGTGGGTAGGAGAACAGCCACAACCAGGAGCCCCAAACTCCGCTCGTGCTACAACGTCCCTTATGGGTATTTTTGCTGTGTTCTAGAATGAATTTGACATCTTATAGCGCTCGGGTGCCGCTGCCGCTGCATAGTTTTTTATTAAAATTTTGTGCTCTTGTTGACTGCCATAATTTAAATTTGGCGCCATACGCCCGTAATGACTCATGTATTTGCATCGAGTTACATTAATTCAAAGTTTGGAAAGTTTTTTTTTTGTAGCTGAGCACTAAGAAAGTCTTCAACCTGCGCAACTTAGTCGCAGCTTTTTTTTTCTTTTTTTTGTCAGTGGAGGAATGTTGTGTCCTCCATATATTTTGTGCTTTATTTAGCGGTACTTTTCCAACCTTGGGGTCCACCATTTGCATCTGAACGCATCCCGCCATTTTTCAAAAACACAACGTAGGATCTCATTTTATTAGACAATCACAGCCAAGGCCAAATTTTGAAATTTTGAATTTTTCGCGGGCTATTCAAGTTTTTTTCAAGTGTCAATTTAAGGCGGGATGTTTGAGTTGTCACAGTCCTTACATAAATGAACTATTTATTATAAGTCTCAAGAGAATTGATGAAATGTGGATAAAGTAATATCTACTTAAGTAAAAATATTAAGAAACTTTGGTGTAACGTGAAAAACAAAGAATTTTCTGACACGTAGTTTATATGAACATTTACAGGATGATCATTTAACTTGTCTTAGAACCATGAACAGTTAGAAATCTTACCAAGAACTGTGAATTTACAAACAATCAAACAAGAATAACGACTCTTTTTCATTTAAACAATTACTCTTTTTATGAAGTTACAAACTAAATTTAATTTACCCTTATTTTCATCATGTGTTTACACTCAAAACTATTAACTTAAAGAGTGACACCAATTAGTTCTCTAAACCGTCTACCCTTATATACCTTAACTGAAGATCTCTACAGATGATTGTTTAAGTTTCAACGATTTTCTTAATTTTAAATTTTCAAATGCGGTTTCGCAGTCTTCTTCGTTCCTTTTGAACGCGAAATTTTAATTCAAACCGGGACACCACACGAAATTATACAAAAAGAATGTAGATCGTATATACCGTAAGGTTTTTTTTTCTGAACATAGGATAATTAATGTTAAGTTGGTTGGATACCTGCTTGTAATGGATTGACTTGCAAGGTTAATTTATAAATTAACCTTGATTGACTTGGACTTTAAAAACTGAACATAAAATCTGATCGAGATTTAGGATATGTAAAAGATATTGTCATTGACATTTGGCACCACTGTCTTCATGTTGAGGTATATAACTACAAGTTTAAAGAACAGAAAATTTACGTTATTGACCTTTTTAAAACAATTTCGTCAAAAATTTTACTGTAAATGTCATCGTTGACATGGCCTACTCCTCAATTGTTACGAATCCTATATTCAGTTTTTAAAAGTTCAAATCAATCCATTCGAGGATGAATATGCAACCCAACATCCTATGTTCAGAGAATTGTTCTTATTTTTGTATAACAAAACCGAAAACTGTATATAATTTTTAAGACAATTGTCTTTGAAAGAAGGTACAATCTGTTTTTATGACGAATATTAGTGCACTTATACATATACAGGGTCATCAAAATTGATTGAGAGAGTTGGTACCCCCTGTTTTTGTCGTGAAGTTTGTCAACCTTATGACAGATTTGTTTAAGGTTATATGCAGAGATATGTAAAAGACTAGATACAGATATTTAATGTTCTCGTGGACATACGTTTAGGCCCAAGATGTCAGTGTACGTTTATATCTCCCTCTTTTTCTCTAGCACGTACAATGGTAACCCGATATCTGAAGGTCTCGCTCTGTACGGCGCAACCAATCAGTTGGCGCAACGTTTGTCGTTGATGCCGTTCTTGTGTTTGTGCCGGTCCCTGTCAGACCAATCAGACTGTGGGTGGTTATAATTATTTATAATTGCCGCCATCAGAACGGGCCAATAACAAGACAACCACCTTTTAGAGAGTGATGGATGTAGCCTACACTTGGCCATCCATAGTACTGGTGCTGATATAGAAAAGGATAGGCGACACAAAGTATTGCTACTCTTAGATCATAGATGTTGGCCCTAGATCGGGAAAGCTATAACCGCATCTGTCTTTTACATATCTCTGGTTATATGGCAATGAATTCAGTGGCGTGACAAAAATTAGAAACTTCAAATCTGACAACTAATGTTTTTACAAAAAAAAAGTCGAAAAAAGACGCCACTGAGTTTTGAAATTTGAAACTTGAAACTTCAAATCTGACAGCTAATATTTTTATACAACTTAATAAACCAAATTATGAAAGTTCAGGTTTACCAACTCTCTCAATCAATTTTGATGACTCTGTACCTGATATAGTAGTTAGTATTATCACAGTAGGTATTATTACGTATCTGTGTGCACCTATGTATCACAGTTCCCATAAGGCGAGTGAAATTTTTATATAGGGAACTAACAATAATGGGAAGTGAGAGCACGAGATGTACCTATTTATATTTCTCGTGTATTCTACTGATAACAATATTCTCGACTTACTTTTCGTTTCGTCCACTTTTAGGTTTTGTTTAAATCCATTGTACAAAATTTACGATATATATATAATAGTTTTGGATTTTTTTTACAACGTTATGTTTAATCAAAAGTTAATTTGAAACAGATAACGCCAATTATTATTAGAAATCACAAGATTGTTCCACCCCCTACTGATATTTTTCTAGAGACGCCTATGGTGTCCTTCAAAACCGACTGAAGTTTTTTGACATCTTACACTGACATCTGTCAAAAAGTATTCCCAATTGTCAGCGGAGAATAATTTGTCAATAAATTATCAAAGTTGTTTATGTTGCGAAGAGCGCGAATTACAGTAGTTTTTTTCATTTTCTATTAAAAAGCAGAGTTTTGAAAATGACTTCAGCTTTATACCTGGAGCACTACTTAGATAGTAAGTGTAAAATATAAAGTAACCTAAAACAACTGTAAGAAAATCTGTTTGTGTTTAGGTCTCGAGCATCTGCCCATAGAGTTACAACGAAATTTTACGTTAATGAGAGATTTGGATTCCAGAGCTCAAGGGTTAATGCAAAAAATCGACTCATTAGCTGATAATTATTTACGCAATCAAAAGACCATAACACCAGAAGAAAAAAAGGAACAATTAGACAACATACAATCATTATTTAATAAAGCTAAAGTACTACACAACAAAGATAACTAAATCACGGAATTAATGGTCGTTTTTTAGGAATTAGGTGATGATAAGGTCCAACTCGCCATACAAACTTATGAACTAGTTGATAAACATATTAGACGTTTAGATAATGACTTAGCTAGGTTTGAATCAGAAATTCAAGATAAGGCTCTAAATTCCCGAAATCAAGATGAACCATCAGTTGGTAAAAGTAAGGGGTATGGGGAAGTAAGAGGTTCAAAATTTTAATGATTCTTTGTAGAAGGTCGCAAGAAAACAAAGGATGGCAAAACTGAAAAGAAAAAGCGACCAGGTAATTCCAGTGAGGAAGATTCAGCAGGAACTGTTCGAGGTTCAAAGAAAAAGAAACAAAAAGGATCAGGTTCGACTGGAAATGGTGGTAGTAATTCGGGCAGTGGAGCCAAAACTGCCTCAGGTGAGGGTTCGTATCATCTCATTTCATTTAATTTTGATTTGTTCTGAGCACACATTCACATTATTATTCATTTTTTGTTTTTAATTTTGGTAATATTAAATATGCGTTTTTTTAGCGGTGGATGCAGTGTCAGTATTACCTGGTTTAGCTGGAATTGCACACCCAAGTGATGTACTAGATATGCCTGTAGATCCTAATGAACCAACATATTGCCTGTGCCATCAAGTTTCTTATGGAGAAATGATAGGCTGTGACAACCCAGATGTAAGAATTAAAAATTTTTTAGTTGCATATTTTGTAACCGCCAATTTTTTAGTGCCCCATAGAATGGTTTCATTTTGCTTGTGTTGGTTTAACCACGAAACCAAAAGGGAAGTGGTATTGCCCAAAGTGTACACACGACAGAAAGAAAAAATAATGTGTTGATAAGTATTAAAATTTAGGTAATTTTGTATTTTATGGAGATTGTTTTTTTATCGACAAAACTATTTGTTTACACTCAGATGTGTATAAAAGTTGTTATTTTTTTCTAAAGATAAGTATAAATTAGCACACTTTTTTATAAAAGTGTAAAGAGTGATTTTTTTACTTTTATTGTAAATCAATTTGCTCATAGAAAACTGTAAGGAGCAAAACTAGCACATCACAGTATATTTTCACTAAATGCTAAAAATATTTTACGATTGAGATATCTACAGAGTATGGAATAAATTACTTAGATTTTATAAAATTCTTTACAGTTGTCTTTGAGATCTTGATCACATTGTTGCCATTTTGTAGCATATGTGTTACATTGATAAAATAATGAATTTAAAGAAAAAGAAATACATTATATCAAGTTTCTTCTAATGAGTTTTGTTTTTCTGGACTTCCACTATTTTCGGTAAAGGAACTAAATTATGGAATATTTAAATTACAAAAAAACAAACGCTTTTCTAAACAAGACATCTTAAGAGAAAGCAATTTTAAATTAACTTTGTAGTCACATCTTCATTTATTATGTACTTATTGTTTTTTTTTTTTAATTTTATTGTATACGTGAAAGTTAATTTTATAAACCATACGAATCAAAATTCTGCAACCCACCTAACAGCATTGTGTTGCATTTTGATTGATGCGTGTACTAAAATTACTTGTGGCAATAAAAAAGAAACTCGTTAGAACTTAATTTCTTAAGGCGGTATCATTCAGAATTTTAACACAACAGTTGAGTATATTATTGTCCGCTCCACTGCAAAAATTTAGATCTCGGTACTGCAAATCAGTCAAAAGAAACATTGTAAACATATAATCGGATTCCAAGCAGGAATCCTTGACTTAATCAGAATCCGAAAACGCATTTGAAAAATGTTTTAGACGGTTTGGCCGTTTGGCGTTTCTTAGGCTGGCAGAGGAGGGGTTTTGAGTGTAGTTTATGTAGAATTTACGAGTCACTTGACCCATTTCGTTTTGTGGTGCCAGTGAAAACACGTGTTATAAAAGGGTATGTTTACATTTTGTTTGTTATTTTACCAAAGGACAATTGTTTAAACAACAATAAATCGCGTTCGACGCCGCAGTTTCTCTCGACGAGTATAATTAGCGTAAGAGCAGTTAATTAACATTTTTCTAATCTAAAATGTCGTGAAACTTTGACGAGACTCTCAACATATATTTTAACCATTTATGGTTCTACCGTTCTAACACAATTTTGCGACAATACTGAAAATATTAAAAATGTTAACGTAAAACACTTGCCGAAAATTCACTTGCTCAAGATTAACTTATTATTTTAGTAATCATATTTGCAGTTCTGGATGGGTTTACCTAAGTTATTATATTAATCACACTTTGTCACTCCTCACTCGAGAGTTTAAAATAGTTCATTAGTGGCATTTAAACTAATTTTAAACAGTGAGCTATTTTGAATATGAGAAAAGTACCGTCAGTTAAATTAATACCACAGTGAACTTGAAATAGAAAGGGGTAATTATCATTTATTTTGTGCTACATTTTGTGGTGACCGAATTTGAATCAAATTTTTGCGCTGAAATTAATTAACAGCGGCGCGAAATCACACTTGAATAATCTGAATTTGAAAAACAAAAAATTCAATAAAAAAATCTTTAAACATAGGCAACTATGTGCACGTTAACCCTTGTTGAGTAGTTGGTAGTTCTGCTTGTTAGTTAGAGGGTTGGTTATGAGAGGCCGGGTTGGTAGACCAGATAGCGCCCTGGCGAGAGCAGGGTGCAAGCATGATTGTTGATTTGGTGGTGTGTTTGTGAGGATGGTGAAAAGGCGCTGGAAGTTAGCTAGGTTAAATTAGTTGGTTTGGTAGTTAATAAAAAGAAGGAAGCCTTTGCTTAACGACAATTAAACGTAACGGTGACGTCACAGTTTTCCCCAACACCCGCAGCTAATTCTTGCGGGTTTTTAATCGGAAAACATGTCAATTTTTAAATGACGCCAACCCTTGTAAATTTAATTCATTGTTTGTAAATTCACTGATCTGGTTAGGATTTTAATCGTTAACTGGTTCTAACACAATGTAACAGATATTTACAAGGAGATTTCATGAAATTCACTTAGTCAGGATAACACCCTTTGTTTACAAGCTATGAATGAGGTTTCTGGATGTTAATACGTAAGTGTTACATTATAACACTTCTTAATTCTTTCCACAAGATTGCTAATAGTTCATTTAGTTAAATTAATAAAATCCATTATATCGTGAACTGACGGGGGTTAAAATAATTTCTTCCCTTAAGCAGTTACCATCGTTATTAGCATAGTTATCATCATTACATCACCTAGGCATTTCCTCACAACGTTAAAGATTGATTACATAACCGATGCATTTCCTGGCAACGTTAAAGATTAATGACATCACCGAGGCATTTCCTCGCAACGTTAAAATCTACATCACCGAGACGATTTTTCCTCGGAACGATGACTCGATATTTTTGTGTTTATTTATTATGTATTTTGTTGGAGTAACCAGGTCACGATAGACTCTCAAAGTTAATGATTCTAAGTAGCCAATCACTTGGATCAAGACATAATTTAACATCTCTCTGTCTAGCAATTTTAACTTCAGTAATTTTCTTTGTTGTATAATGTAAATTGAACGTAAACTTTCATGCCCTGCAGTTTCTAACTTCACACGTAATATTTTTATATGCACAAGTTTGTTTCACACCAGATCTTTTATTTTCATAAATCTTTGCTAGTTTTTGTTTTATGTAAATATTTTATTGATGAATGTTTACATCATATAAATTATCTGATGTCTAATTTTAATCTCACATAAGAATTATTTGTTGTTTAAAATTTCACAAGATTTGTATGGCGAATTTAAATGTTGTTACTGCTCTTTGGAACTTTAACACTCGTTCAGTTGTCGTTAACATCAGAGTCATAGAAATTGAACATTGAAAATGGAATTGGAATAACACCGAAACACGTAGCAGAAGCAGAGGGCGCGGTTCCTAGTGGAGTTAGCGTAAAGTCACTAGATCTATTATTACTTTTAGAAAGTACGGCAAACTGCCAGTGCCCGGCGGTCGACAGAGAGGAACCTAACCTATGTGTTCGACAAAGATAGCGCGAGACTAGTAATTTTCGCTATCAAATATATAAACTGTTGAAGAAAGTTTGATATGTTTACGATTTGAAGTTACGACAGAGTGTACTAGAATTATCGAGTCAACAGACCGAAAAGAACACTATTCCAGTCCCAAACGAACTCCAGCCCTATACAACAAGAAAACACAAACTATACAAACAGTCGTGGAGGAGGTGTTACCAGCAGGGTCATTGACAGCTAAATGACAGTAACAGGATCGCTATACTGGAAGCAAAAAATACCTGCTGTCAAAAACACGGAGCATAACAAGGACACAGATATATTTCTATTTCATAAAAGTTACTAATTGCCACGCATTTCAAGATTTCAAGATCGAGTCACTTTAAGCTAGCAGGATTTATCGCGCCATCTGTACAAAGGATGCAGGCTTTGTATAGAGTCAGGGGAACGATCTGGACGACATGACGCTGTCAGCTTATTTATAGCCGTGACTTCCAACCACTAGTTTTCGTTAGATAGAGGGGTGCTGAGCGGTAGTGCTTGCGATAGATAGAATCACCGTCGCGGGGGAGAACAGCCCCGACCGGGAGTCCCAAACTCCGTTTGTGCGAGAACGCCCCTAGGGTAACGTAAATTGCCATTCCTTCCGAGAAGCACTGTGAGTTAGTGTTTCGTGCACCCCTCGTTACACTCTTGTGAGTTTTGGGAGTTCTGTACTTAATAGGGCCTCAAAGTGTCTTCTTAGGACACCGTTAAGTCCCAGCTTAGCAGATGGACCCTGCGCGGAGTATCGGCCCAAGTTCAGACCGCCTATCCATGCTAGCCCTAGTACCACAGCTCGACCACAAACTTGAAAGAAAAAAAGAAATTATGCCGGACTTGTATTTTAAATTCTTCAGCTAACAATTTGGAAACTGACCTTCAAGATTTTAAAACATTCATTAAATGATTGGTGGACAAAATTTGGAAAAGTGTCAAAATTTCAAAGAAATCAATATGCAAAAATCAATTGATCAACAGTACATCGTGAATCCAATTACCCATTAAATCACATGTTAAATATGATAGAAATCACAATAATGTCACTCGGTACACACTTCGCTGTGAGAGCAGTGTCCGAGAATAAACGTTCAAAATTCAAGTCGTAGAACATAAAAGATAACACAAAATCAGCATTCCCTTTTTGAATTCACGATGACATTTATTTATTGATAATTTGCAAAGTGACTCAATGTTTAAAATTAAATTTTGAACACTACAAATTACTATTAATTATTGAGTATTTATAGTAATAATAATAGGAGTAACCATCCAGTCCTTTAGATATATCACAATTAAATATTTTAAAACATTGCAAGTCTCGCTCGAATAAAATAAATACTCTCTTCGTTGCCATATTTACAAGAAAAGAAAAAGTATAATTCTACAGATTGCGTAAAATAAAATAACGATTTGATCGCTTTACAAGTACGAACGCGTCCTGGTAAACTCACCAGATGGTCAGTCAAGCGGCCATTAGTCTAAACAAATGATGCAGTGTGTGCTGGACGATTGTTAATTAAAACCATCGAAATTGTACTTACACCTGGGGGTAATGCAACGTACAACTTTTAAACACATGTGACTCTAGTACCATATACTGGAGACTTGCATCGTTCACTACGACTAACCGAAGTAGTGGGGAAAGCGAAAAATCTTCACTATCCAAGAAAACATGAGAGGTGCTTACATTACTGAAATGTTGAAAGTAAGGACTTGCTGAAGTCTTGCTGTTTGTCTACCTCCCCACAGAAATCCTTTCATCTGCCTGTTCTTTTGCGTTTGATTTATCAAGTCGAGTCCTATTCCATAGCTTCCTTGTCGTGTGTCTCAACCTACTGAGGTAAGAGTTTTACCATAGGGGGCAATCGATCCCACAAAAGTTACGTTTTGGTAACTCTCCTTGAAAAAGTCTCAACAGTGCCTTATGTACCAGGGCGGCCATTTTGTCCGCTCCTTCTAGATGTCTGATTCTATTTGGATCTTATGCACCCGTTCTGACCCTTCATTTTTTTTTATGTTAAATCGAATGTATCGATGATCCTATGAATTCAGCTCTGTTGATACTCGTTTAGTGACGAAAGTAGGTTCGTTTCCACTATTTAGAATATCCAAACCCGTTGTAGCGAGGTAATTTAGAAAAGCCTCTTCTCTGGAATTGACATCAGAATTAAATTTCCACACATTGTATGGTGTGAGTTCGCATTACATCTCAATATGAGAAGCCAGTTCGTAGCTTTGCGAAAGTCTATTACTACTATCAGCTCAGGTGAGAGTAACACTATCGGTAAGTCACACGGCAGATAGCCGGAGTACACTATTATTTCCTACGTCTTTGCAAGTCTTTTTATTTAATTCTTGTTGCGATATTGCCATTTTATTTCATATTTTACTTCCTGAGCTTAAGCTAAGGAAGTGATCTATTAATTATTAAAAAAAAATCCATGTTTCACGGATCGATTTAATTAACCTCGACTTACATTAGAGTTCAAATTGCATCTTACTGACGTCAATCAGATTGATTAAATTTACCAATGCACGGTTGCAAAGTTGCATTAACTTCCTCATTAACGGACGATGCTGCATACCTACATGGTAAAATGTGGCAAACATCTGGAAATATTTTGTCTCACTTTAATTCATTCAACATGTTTGGCCCAGGTCTTAAGTTTAGTAGCTGAAGTTATCCAGAATCAATATGAAGATGTCAATGGATTAATTTCCAACGTAAAGGAAGTATTTCCTAAAGCTCATTTGAGGATCCAAGCCTTCTGGGAAGCTTTATCGGATTGTCTATTGCCTCCAGAACCTGTTATGACCAAATGGAGTTGATGGATTGTAGGAACAATATATTATTGCATCATTTTGACGATATAAAAAATGTTAATTTATTGTTATTCACAATTTTGTTGTGTATTTCTAAATTAAATGAAACATTTTGGGTCATTATGGAATGTGACTCCACAGTGTCTGTCGAAATGCATTGCCGATGCTCAATACTATTTCCAACAAAAGCTTCTTAAACATAATTTGGCTTACACCCATTTTACCATCTGAAAGACAACTGTAACTAGATGAGAGACCATTGGGCTGATCTGAAGTCAGTTTGTGGATATAGTAGAGCAATTGTATAAACGATTGGAAGATAGCACTGGGAGAATAGGTGAAATGGCATTTAAAAAGGTGCGAGATATTTTACAAAAAAATACCGGGTACCAAGAGCTTAAACTTGTCAGCAAAGTATTACAATTAATTCAATTTCCTTCCTTTTTGGGCGAAATTAAAACTGAAACAAAAAAGCATTTAGATCGTGTTAATACCGTTTATTTACGAGAGTTGAAAAATATTTCCGTGACAAATTTAGAGAATGTTACAATTTAAGCTAATAGTAGCCTTCCTACTCTATGTAAACAAGCCCAGTCTTATGTTTATGGCCTAATTGACAGATTTTTAACCGCGGCTATTTAAACTCGTCGTGAAAGCTGCGTCCGGTGTCAACCATCTTCGATTTCAAAAACAAATCCGGATGTGCAAGAATCTCGTCAAGTGAAAGCATATTGTCGTGGTCACCGTCGGCTAAAGCTAGAAGTGCCTCGGCTTCGTGCTCGCTGTGTCTCGGACTTTGCGGTGCAACATAATGCAGGAGTTCTCTTCGATCAGCACGTCCATCTCCGTTTAGGTCGACGGATTTTCGAAATTCAGCACGCCTTTCGTTTTCGTCCTGTCTCACCACAACCGTTTCGTCGTTGTTACCTGAAAATATAATTTAAAAAAAGAAAATTTGTTTTTTTTTGGAGCTGGTTGAGTTACCTTCGGTTTGCAAAATCGCAAATTCGTCTTCTGTTAATAGTTCGTCTCCGTCTCTGTCGAATTTGTCGTAGAGTTCGTCAACCAAAGCTAACTGGTTGGCAGCACTGGATTCTGGGTGGGTGAAGGCCAGAAACTCGTCCACGGTTAAAGCGTCGGGGTTAGAGCGGGCAGCTTCCATCCAAGATGCTTTGTCTCTCATTATTTGTTCTGAAATAACAAAACAGCACATTTTTGTATTAGTGTGAAAAGTCATTTTGTCAGTATCGTGTCAATAATAAATGAAATTCGCAAATCCATTTTTTAATTTAGTGAAAAAAGTAATAAGTCATGTTTTTTGGTTATAGAAAAAAAAGTAATTTTATTTTGCATATTTAAAATAGGACCTCCTTGACATCAAAATTTTTAGTGGGTATGAACAAACAAACTTTGTTTAACCTTTTGCCATATGCACAGTAATTCTAAAAAACACCTAGACTAGAATTTCGCAGTAACCTGTTAAGTAGTTTCCAAGCACACTTGTCGCACAAATGGACGGACAGCAAACAAACGGGAAAGGGAGACATACTTTTTCATGTTCTCGAAAGTACGAAACGTCGAGGATATGTAAAATTAATAATTCATCAAATGAATTTTGTAACAATAGTTTTGTTTGGGAAACAAAAAACTTATATCTCTAACAAAAATTAATGTACACGTTAGATGACGAGATTATGCATTTTATAGACCCAAATAAAATTGTAGATAGCACAGTTTGCGGAGTGATAACTCACAAGACTCGAGCAAACAATAAAATTAATAATAATAATAATAATTAATTCATGATAAGATAGTAAGAGATCTAAATTTTTAGTTACCTGCTGTATATTTGGCTGAAATCACAGTCAGATTTTGTAGGAAGGACTGCAATATAAGAATTTTGGGAGCACAGATTTTGTAAACTAGTTTAGTTTACATAGGTACGTGTTACACTTTTAAGAAAATTTGAAGTCGATTTGCATATATCTACTCTACTAACATTGAAACATCAAATATCGAATTTGAATAAAATTTTCACGCTGAAATTAATTAATAGCGGCGCGAAATCACGTATGAATCATTTGAATTTGAGAAAAAAATTCAATCAAAAAAATCGTTAAACATAGGCAACCATATGCATGTTAGCGCTTCGTGGGTAGTTGGTAGCTCGCTAGGGGATGTTTTAGTTAGAGGGCGGTAGAGTAGACAAGATGTGAGCATGGTGAAAAGACGCTGTAACTTAACTAGATTAAATTAGTTGGCTTGGTACTCTTGGTAGTTAATAAAAGGGAAGAAGCCTTTGTTTAAGGACAATCAATCGTAACGGCTACGTCACAGTTTTCCCCATTACGCGCCGCTAATTCTTGCGGCTTTTTAATCGGAAAACATGTGAATTTTTGAACGACATCAATCCGTGTAAATTTAGTTCATTGTTTGTAAATTCACAGTTCATGTTAGGATTTTAATCGTTAACTAGTTCTCACACAATGTAACAGACATTTATTAGGAGATTTCATGAAATTCATTGAGTCACGACTCGTTTGATTTTGTTTGTCTAATTATGAATAAGTTTCTGGATGCTAATATGGAAGTGTTATATTATAACACTTCTTAATTTCTCACAAAAGATCGCTAATAGTTCATTTACGGCAGTTAAATTAACAAAATTCATCATATCGTGAACTGACGGGGGGGGGGGGGGGGATTAAAGATTTCTTCCCTTAGCCAATTATCATCGTTATCATCATCACCTCGCAACGTTAAAGATTGATTACATGACCGATGCATTTCCTCGCAACGTTAAAAGATTACATCACCGAGTCATTTCCTCGCAACGTTAAATATTACATCAACGAGACCATTGTCTCTCAACGCTAAAATTTACATTACCGAGACGCTTTTTCTTCGCAACGATGACTGGATATTTTTGTGTTTATTTATTATGTGTTTTGTTGGGGTAACCAGTTCACAATAAACTCTCAAAGTTAATTATTTTAAGTAACCAATCACTCGGATCATGTAATAATGTAAAATCATATCAATTCTTTGTTTGAATCGTTGATAAATTGTGGCAAATATTAATCTCATGTAAATTTTGTTAGCTTTGCAATTTTTCACCTCATACAATATTTCTCTATCTCGCAATTTTAACCGCAGTAATTTTCTTTGCTGTATAATTTTAATTGAATGTAAATTTCTATGATCTGCAGTTTTAACCTCACGTAATTTATTTGCACAAGTTTAGTTCACATCATATCTTTTGTTTAAATCTTTGCTAGTTTTTTTTATGTGAATGTTTTGTTGATGAATGTTTGTTTTTGAAACTTTAACACTTGTTCAGTTGTCGTTAATATCAGAGTTATCAGAAATTGAACATTTAAATGGAACAGAGGTTAAATAACACAGAAAAACGTGGCGGACGCGAAGTGCGCGGTTCCTAGTCGAGCTGGCGGGATTTATCACGCCACCTGCACAAAAGATGCAGGTTAGAACAGAATTCAGAGACGGTCGAGATGACGTAACGCTGTCGGCTTCTACCTTATAGCCGGGACCCAACTGCGAGTTTGCGACCGTAACGGCCTGCACGTACGGCTTGTCCGTAATAGAGAATTGCTTTGCGATAGGCTTGCGATAGATGGAATCACCGTCGCGGGGGAGAACAGCCACGACCGGTAGCCCCAAACTCCGCTTGTGCTAGAACGACCCTACGGTTATTTTTGTTGTGCTCTTGTTGACTGGCATAATTTTAAATTTGCCGCCACACGCCCATAATAACTTGCGTATTTGCATCCAGTTACTTTAATTCAAATTTTTATTTGCTCTTATTAAACGCAGTTTTTTTTCTTCTTTTTTTTTGTCAGTGGGAGAATAAATAATTTTGTGTCCTCCATAAATTTTGTGTTTTATTTAGCGGTACTTTTCTAACCTTGGGGTCCACTATTTGCGTCTGAACGCATCTCGCCATTAAAAAAAAAACACACAGAACGGAGGTTCCTTTTTGTCAGACGATTACAGCCAAGGCCAAATTTTGGATTTTTAAATTTTTTCGCGGGCTTTCAAAATTTTTTTTTCACATGTCAATTTAAGGCGGGACGTTTGGGTTATCACAATACTTAAAAACCCCCGACACAAAAAAATTAACCCTTAAAATATCTGAAATTGTTAAAAATCGTTTTTCCGAACTCTCACTTGAGATGCTTCTAGCTTCGGCTCACCTTTATCGGCTATAATAAAGCTACATTATGAATGTTGTTCTTAATGATTTCTGAACTCTTGAACCTCCACAACATGGTGCGCCTTCAATGCAAATTTTCTCGTACTTGAACTCATTAACTCAATACGAATGCCGTCATAAGAAGATTATGAATCGTCCAATGTAGGAAAAATCTTCGTAAAAACCTTCCCGATTAAACCAGCTTTCAAACAAAAAAAAAACCTGCACTGAAATCGGTTGAGAGAGAGAGAGCGAGTAAAAGTTATTATAATTTTTTGCGTCGGGGGTAAAAAAAAAAATTAGCATATAACCTTTCGAGAGCTTATTTAATTCTACTCATGATACCTAAGTTTAAAAATATCATAAATACAAAACAAAGAAACAAACATGCATATTTATATTACTTTAATTTTTGTTTTTTAAATATTGGTATCATGTATTTATACACAGAATGAAATAAACCCTCAAAACAAGGCTTACTCAACCCTCTATGCTATTTAATTTTTAAAATGAATTTTTATTTAACCACTAGTTGCTGGAAAAAGTCTTCCAGCAGAAATGAAAAGGTACCAGGAAGCCGACAGAAGAATTTTTAAGACTGTCGAATATTGTCGCAGAATAAATATTCAGGAATTTTTCAGAGGATTGTTTTGTGATTATGAAACGAACCCATAGTTAATGCTAGAATCTCATTTGTTTTGTATGTATATTAGGGTGATTCAAAAAAAAAAAATAATTTTTTTTTTCGTGTCAAAGAGGTTCAAAAGTTTCTTTTCAACGTAAAAAAATACCAGTTAAAAGTTGAGCTCTTAATATTAATATTAAGACCGTCCGCATCGCGTTTTTCTATTTCCCATAAGAATAACATGGGAAAATTTTTGTTTGCACCTTCTGATTTTTATTGCTAGCCCGTCGTGTGTCGTGAAAAAAATTCAATCACATATTTTTATAGAGAATTGAACGCTCTACAAAAAGTGTCTCCTATGATTTTGCGAGAAACCTGACTATGATTTTTTAACCCACTGATGCTGAAAATGTTCGGAAAGAGTTTTACTGGCCTTATTATAGCATAAAATTATAAACAATTACTGTTTAAAAAACTAAATTTAAAATGTGTATAAATTTTTGTGGTGATTTATTCCAATAAGACCATCAAATTTATTGTAATGCATCAAAAACGTCAAAATTTGGATAAATTTAACTTTAGCCTAAAATAACTCTTCAACTATCAGGTTTCTGGCACAATCATAGGAGACACTTTTTGTAGAGCGTTCAATTCTCTATAAAAATATGTGATTGAATTTTTTTCACGACACACGACGGGCTAGCAATAAAAATCAGAAGGTGCAAACAAAAATTTTCCCATGTTATTCTTATGGGAAATAGAAAAACGCGATGCGGACGGTCTTAATATTAATATTAAGAGCTCAAATTTTAACTGGTATTTTTTTACGTTGAAAAGAAACTTTTGAACCTCTTTGCACGAAAAAAAAAATTATTATTTTTTTTTTGAATCACCCTAATGTATATACAGGGTGAGTCACCGAGTGTGCGCTCCTCGATTTTTCATTAAGGCGGGTCCCTACTTTTTTCACTTGCTCCGTTATTGCTATGAAATTTTAAATATGAATTGTACACAACTTATTTTATAACAGTGGCATTAGCGAAATTTTTCATCATGTTTTTTAAAATTCATCAGTATATCTCATTTATTTAACATTGTGGATTTCTTTTGTTGAAAGCGACATTTCAATAAAATAAAAATATTAAATAAAAAACAGAGATATTGATTTTTAAATATATGTATGTGATGAAAAATTTCACCTTGTTTTATATAGCGAAAGGTGTAAATAAGTTATATATAAAATTCCGTAACAATAGGTCCGTTAATAATGGAGATATTACGTTCTGAAAATTTATTGAAAGTACCATGACCCAAAGGTCACAATAAAAATCGCAACAGGTTTTTTTTGAAAATCTGAGTAACAATATTTTGTAGACCGATAAATAAAGATACGTGCTTTATTGTGGTATAAATAAAATTGGGTTTTAATATACAGAGTGTTTATAAAAACATAAAAACAATCTAACTATAATTTTTTCAAAGATAACTTCTGGATGTTTTTAGTGCATATTCTTTTGTTTTTGTTCTTTTCCTATTTGGTTAAGTATTTTTTTAATTTAAAGTCGATAGTTATTGAGATTTTTACTTTTAATATATTTTTTTAATTTTATAAATTAAATCACTTGGGATGTATTAATATGTGTTGAGTTTTAACCATAGACATTCAGTCTTTTGGAAAAAATTCAAAATTATACAACATCTTGCAATTTAACATTGAAACTCCAAAAGTCAAATGCTCTGAAATCTTGCAAGCTTTTTAAGGTTGTCGCAATCATGGTAAATGGTTAATAAAAATGTATTTGTTTATCCCCTCTCAACAAATTGGTGACGTCATCTCAAAATTTTGACTAATAAATCCTCTCTGAAATACGCAAACTCTTATGACTCTATGCTTGGGTTTATTAACACGTTCAAAGTTTTTAGAATTACTTATACACGCTGACTCAAAAAAATTAAGGAATGAAGCAATTTATTGTATTGATTAGTATTTCACTGCATCTATCCAAATTGCAAAAATGTTGATGACGTCATTACAAAATGTTGTAATAGAAAACACACCTGAAACAAATATGGAGCATTTCTTTACCTTTGCTATAACGTCGTTATTACTTTTATATCTTTATTTTGACTAATATCTAATGGTTATAAAAAAAATAAGAATTGGATGGCAATATGGCTTAGGCTTAAATGTCCCTGCAGTAAGTTGGCTCTGCGCTAAAATGTCTCGCGCCAATTCGTCCCATTCAGTAGTGATACTATAAACGCACTAGTATTGTAGAAGATTATGATGATGTTATTTTATTAAGGACACATATTATTTTGAACAGATGCAATATAATACTAATAATAACATAATTATACTCAAATTTTCGGAAAAATGGAGCGAACCGTTCTTGATTTGAGCAATAAAATAAACTGCTCCTTCATTAATATTTTTATTGAGTCACTTGTACAAGTAATTCTAAAAAACATTATTGGATTGATAAATTACAGACATAGACTCATTATATTTTGCACAGTTTAGATAAGATTTATACGGTAAAATTTGCTGGGAGGTATGAAGAATGCTGGTTTGTACACTTCTTCGTTCATTTAGATGAAAATATATAGAGAAATATAAGTAGTGTTGCTATAGTTATGTCATTTCTACATTTTGAACGATATTAGATTGCGCATTTTGTACCTGTACTCTTTAGTTGTTTCAGTTTGATCTGCGGTTCAATGAAGTCAACGAACTTTTCTCTAGCCGGTTATAAGACAACAAACAATACATATAACATATAACACTCTTAAAAAAAACAATCTGTTCATTGTCAATATTACTTGTTCACGTAAGTATTTGTAAGTAAATTTATATATTACATTTTCAATTTAAATTTGTACCACCTCACAAAAAAGTGCCTACAAAAATTGCATCATTCACCTAATTAAGATATTAGTTAGTCATAATAAGTAATAAACATTATGACAATAAACGTAATTTACATTCTTTGTTACGTCAGTCCCTGCTTTTGCTCAAGTAACTGCGACCGCGTGTACACTTTAATTTACTCCGGTCGAAGCAGTGTGCAGTGATAAGTGTAGATGTGACCAATGACATTAAAATGTTCCTACATTCTTTTCACCTTAATTGGTTTAATTCCGTTAACTTCGTCGCTAAGACAACTTCACATAGTAAGTAAGTAGATTCAATCCAAATTTTCGTCATTAATATGGGCATTTGAAGGTTTTCCGCCATGGTGAAAGGGCGCCAACCGAAACGTACAAAAACGATCCACATATAAACACCACGTGGTCTGGAGGATGGGGCCACCTAACAAATGTATTGCACATGGATAGTTCAAACCGTGGTTCAAACAAATACTAATCGGTGTGTTGCAGCGCGGCAAATTCGAAATGTACTCGTTGGGTTTGAAACTACGACAACTGTACCCGGATTTCATTCCAGAGTATTATTTTCCAGAAGATGTTAAAGTACTAAGTAGTTATGCCGATCGCTGCCTTATGAGTGCCGAAGCTTTACTGGCAGCTTTATTTCCACCGAAAGGCAAACAAATTTGGAACGAAAATCTGTTATGGCAACCTATTCCAGTTCATTATGTCCCTAGAAGCCAAGACAATGTAAGTTGTTACAATTCAAAAGTTTATTCTCTCGAAAAATAAAGTTTTCCAGTTAATAGCTATGAAAGCCGCGTGCAAAAACTACGACGAAGAGTTGACTCGGGTTTTAAATTCCGCAGTGATCAAAAATATCGACGAAGAAAACTCACAATTGTATGATTATTTGACAAAGCACACGGGACAACCAGTTGATACAATAGGGAAGGTGGAGTTGTTATATAACACATTAGAGATAGAACTACTTCACAATTTAACTTTACCGTCTTGGACAAAGAATGTCTCCATGGAACACCTGAAGACTCTCGCTGCAAGAAGTTTAGAAACTTTTACTGAAAACGATTTCATGAAACGCATGAAAGGGGGTATTCTTTTTAAAAATAATTCCGTGCAATTTTTAATTTATTTTGTTGTAGGAGTCTTTTTGAAACACGTCATTTCTTGTATGGAGAATGTTGAAAAAAATCCACTGTTGTTCCTCTACAGTGCGCATGATTTAACGCTTGTAAATATTTTGAATACTTTGGGGTACAAGTCAATGTTAAAACCAGGCTTTGGTGCGTCTTTTATTATAGAAATGCGCAACAGTTCCGAAATTTTGGTGAGTTATTCTTATTGATAATTTAATATAGAGATTTTCGCTAATGCAACGTTTCAGATGCAATATAGAAACGATATCGTTAGTGATCCAGAGCCAATTGTCGTCAAAGACTGTCCTAAACCTTGCACATTAGATCAGTTCACAAAGAAATTAGAAGCTTTTATTCCATTAGACTGGAGTAAAGAATGTGGCCATTAAGTGAACATTTTTGTTTGGACGTAATTAATATAACACAAATGTATGTAAAAGCAAAATATAGAATATTTTCCTATTGTTCCTATTGAATACTTAAATTTGTTTAGTTAGTTTTATAATCATGACTCCCACTTAAGTGTGATTATTTTAGAAAGAGCGAAGTGCGTTATCGGAAGGGAAATTGATAATTTTTTGTTTTACCTTGAATACAAGAGTTCATAAAGAATAAAATATGACAAATTGTTATTATTGTGAGGTTACGTAGAGAGACAGAACTTCCCTCCTTCTGAAATATAATCAAACAAATCGAGTTTCTTAGAAAAATCATAAAATTTTATTCTGCGACTTTCATTTTTTTTATGATAACCCCTATAAAATAAAATAAATGTGTGCATTTTAGATAGGATTTATTCGGCAAAATTTTGAGAAAACGTCATCAAGTTGTTGGCGATTAGACTAATTTTGGTTTTACCATCTCACGCTACTAGTAAAATACATATATTATTTTACAACAATCAGTTCAGTAGCTTCGGAAATTATGTGTCTAACAGATATGGACACAGATAGACAGACAGACGACAGACAAAGTCAGACGACAAACAGACAGACGGAAACAGGGACCTATTCCTTCGCACTCTAGCTTCGGGAAGTAAAAACTACTTTTATTAAACATTTCGTTAAAATTAAACACAACGCACCACAGTTGAGTATAACTCTTAATTTTCTGATTATCAACTATACAGTTTTTTCTAAAATTTTTGAACGTATGATTTCCAAAACAGGGATCAATCCCGCATTAAATACTAAATTTAACGTGAAACTTAAACATTAACTCCTCACTATTTTGATTATTATTATTAACATACCATAGTTGTGTAAATTATTAAGAACTCTGTAAGTTTTTCACAATTTCTAAGATAATAATCAAATTCTCAGTGATACATAAGACATTTAGTTGTAGCTGCAGTTATAGAATACACAAAATAATAACTAAGATAGTACCTAGTACTGTCGGGTTAAACTTATATGCCACAAAATACAAAATGGGGTTTTGAAAATTTAAATGATTTGTATCGTACATTATTACAGAAAGATATTACGATTAAGTAAGTATAGCATTCACTTAGAAAACTTCACTTAGTTATCAAGCCGAAAAATTAGATCATTAACAAAGAAAAATTAACTGAAAAGACAAGTGGTACCTGGGTTCAATACAATTATTTTGTCATCATAACAGTAGAAAATCAAAACATACTACATACTTTCAAAAGATCTGTTTTCCATGGTTTCCAGCTACAGTAAAATTAATAAGTATCGTAGTAAATATTGAATGGAATATTGCCACCGAGGGCCTCGATGACACAGAAGATTAATTTTTTATGATGTGTTTATTGATTCCCGCTATATATTATTTAGCATTTCAATATTGTACGGGTTATAGGTGCAATTATGACAACAATGACAAGAATAAAAAAATATACTTGAAAATTTTAAATGTTATGAAATCCACTGTTAATAATAATTAGATCGGTTTCTATTCTTCCCTTATTTTCGAAGATTTTTGAAATTTAGTTGAATCACTGGATATGCAAATATTTTGAAACTAATCATTTATTTGATCTAAATAAATTATTAGAAAATTTAAATTTACATATGTCACGGATAACATACTAAAAACATTGGTCTAAAGAGTTTAGACAGTACTTCCCTTACTGTCGGGAACGTAATGACTGCAAGCCTATTATGTTTTTTTCGTATTACATTTTTGTAATTATTGATTTAATCAATAAAATTAATTGACTCAGTCATTAATTTATTTCAGAGACCCTGTATGAGCAAATCTATACAATATTAATGCAGTGATAAATCACAACTACAGATTCATCATATTTTGCACATAGATAGGATTTATTCAGCAAAATTTTGACGTGACGTCATCAATTTTTTAGGGGGGGATGAGTAAATACATTTTGATTATAAATTCATTATGCCTATTATAACTTTAAAACATCTCCAAGATTTCAAAGCATTCGGTTATGTGGCTCATGATTAAATCAATAAAATAAATTCACGCATTCATTAATTTTTTTGAGTCACCTGTATATGCAAATCCAAAAAAATAGGAATGGAATGATAAATCACAAGTACAGACTCATCATATTTTGTACATTTTAGATAGGATTTATTCGGCAAACTTTTGAGCTGACGTCATCAATTTTTTGGAGGGTATAAGTAAATATATTTTGATTAAAAATTTATCATGCTTGTCATAACTGTAAACCACCTGCAAGATTTCAAAGCATTCCGTTTTGCAGATTCCAAATTAAATTGCAAAATGTTGTTTAATAATTTTGATTTTTTTTTCAAAAATCTGGACGTTTCGGGTAAAAAACTCAACTCTGAGTCATAAACTACATGTGTAGGACTATGTTATTTTATACAATGTAAAACCCATTTACTATGTACAATTTTGAACTGACGTCATGGCATTAGTGGTGGAGATGATTAGACAAATTTTGGTTACCGTTTTGCCATCTACATGATATTCCTAATATAAATACAAAATTTCACAACAATCGGTGCAGTACTTTCGGAGATTATCTGTCTAATAAAAATCCGGGACGGTAGACAGACGTACAGACGGACAGACAGAAGAAAACGGGAGACCTATTTTTTCGTCCTCTAGGGGTCATGAAAGGCCGAGAAAACGTAAAAGTAGAGAGTCGGCCGACGGACTCTATTACAATACTTCCTTTGTTTACGCTCGGGAAGTAAAAATTGGTCTAAAGTTATTTACACAGAACTTTCCTTGCTACTGAAAGACAATCGAACAAATGCAGCTTCAGGACTCTTAAACTAGAGGTAAAGAAGTATGTTATGCGTATGTTTGAAGTTAGTTTTCTATAACAAAATTTTGTTGTGAGGTTATCGGCATTTTAGCAAGGACACATATCAATTTGAACAGGTGCGGTGTCATATTAATAATAACTAACACTACTGTATTCTCAAATTTGATGAACCGTTATTGAGTTGATCTTTTGATTTTTCGCTGCCATCCGCCGGTTTCAATCCGCGAACTTCTCATCTGTGAAGCAAGAGCGCTACCAGTGGACTACAGTGGCTGTTATAGGCACATATTTGTATTATGTGTCTAAAAAAGGACTGATTAAATAATAAAAAATATAACAATAATAAACAAAATCAAGGTAGATTCGTAAACCACAAGTATAAGAGAATATTATTTCATAAAATTTACATAATTTTAATTGCGGAATATAATGAGCGGACGTTATTAAGTCGTTGGTGGGAATGATTAACCAAATTCTGGTTAGCGTTTTACCATCTACATGATTATACATACAATATATGACAAGAATCAGCCCAGTAGTTTCGGAGATTATCTATAATGAAACGTTTATTTGTTTTTTACTGGGTAAATGAAGATAAAAATATTGTTATATTGTTCATTTGACAAATGGCTAAACTTTATCTTACATCGACATTTCATAGTTTGAAAATATGAAAAACTAGATCTTTCTCTGTCTTGACACGCAATTTTCGAAGCTACTACACTGATTGCTGTGGAACCTTGTGTGTACTTAGAGTATCACATAAATATTTAAATTGTTAACCAAAATTTGTTTGTTCATCCTTATCATCAACTTCATGACGTTATTTCAAAACTTTGATGAGTAAATAATACTTAAATTTGATAAAATAACTTGCTTCTGTACCCGTAATTTATTAATTCGTGCTTGTGTTTTACCAAGAGATATCTATATTTTTGGAAAAAAATCAAAATTGATGAAAAAAATTACTATCTTGGAATATATAGAACCCGCCGCTCTAATATCTTCCATATCCTAAATTAAACTGGAAAATCATCAATCAAAATTTATCAGTTTGTTTATTTCATGCAAGACTGGTTGGCGCCACTCAAAATTTTGTTAGATAAATTGCATTGAAAATAATATTTGTCTAAACTTGTGGTTTATCAATGCATTCATATTTTTGACACTGCTTTGGTTGTGCAGATTTTTGGAAACAAAATCTAAAACTACATAATCCAAACTTGCAATCTACTTTCGACATCACTGTCGTGAGATTGAATAGGTACATGTTTTGAGGTTATTATCAGCCTGACAGATTGCTATCAAAAATTTGTCAATCCAGTGTATCAAAATTTGTCATCACCTCCAAAGTTTGTTAAGTACACTCGGGGCCATGGAAAAATAGAACACTTTGACATCACACAGTTTTATTATTAATTTTAATAATAATGAAAAAACTTTCAGAGTTTAAATAATATATTTGTAGTCACTGCTACACGTGTTTCGGTACACAGTACCGTCTTCAGGCAGAAGAGAAACTGGGGTTTTTACAGAGCTATTCCTGAATTTATACCTGATTTAACAGTAGTGTTTACAAATTTATGTTAAGTAAGGGAGATTTGTTTATTTCGGTTTGGTCGTTCATTAGTGTATTTAATCTATTGTACCTATTTATTTCCAGACATTCTAACGCGTTTAATTTTGCGCCTTTATTTTCTATGTGTAAAATTTTGAATTCGTCGTTGAAATTATGCTGTTCTTGGATAAGGTGGTTCGCGTACGTAGAATTTGATTTTTTATTGACAAATGCTGATTTATGTTCTTTTATCCTTTCCTCAAATTTTCTCCCTGTTTGTCCGATGTATACTAAGGGGCAGTCACTACAACTTAGCATGTAAACTCCAGAATTCGATTTCTTAGGTGACTTGTCTTTACTATTGTTTATTAATTTATGTAAAGAATGTGAAAGTTTTTTCATTATTATTAAAATTAATATGGAGTTTAAACACGTATCAGCCTCATCAATACAAACAGTTTTATTATTGTTTTATTGACGCCCGTTTCCGTCCGTCCGTCTGTCTGTCTGACAGATAACCTCCGAAACTACCGGATCGATTTTTATCAAATTTTATTTGTGTATTACGAATATCATGTAGATGGTACAACAGTAACCAAACGTTGTCCAATCATCTCCACTAAGAACGTGATGACGTCACCTCAAAATTGTTCGTAGTCAATGGGTTTTAAATTGTATCAAATAACATAATAACATACTCCTACACGTGTAGTTTATGAATTCGTGTTGAGTCTAGATTTTTGGAAAAAAAATCAAAATTATATAACATTTTGCAATTTAATTTAATTTTGAATCTGCAAAATTCAATGCTTTGAGGTGCTTTAAAGTTATCATGGTAAATTTTTTGTCAATTTTTACTTGTCCCTCCCAAAAATTCATGACGTCATTTCAAAATTTTGTCGAATAAATACTCTCCGAATTTTACAAAATATTATCACTCTATATTTGTGATTTATATTGCGTTGATATTTTTTAGATTTACTTCTGCAGGTGGTTCAAAGAAAGTAATGAATGAATCAGTTTCATTTATTGATCAAATCAAGAACGACTAACTCCATTTTATAGAAAATTTGGGAATAAATATTGTTATTATTAACATTACACTGCACCAATCCAAGTTGATACACGTGCCTCATAAAAATATTGACGACGTCATTACAAAGTTTTGTAAAAATTCATTTGAAACATACACGTAGCACTCTTATTTACATTTACTTTAACATTACATATATACATTTTTATTTTAACTTATAGGGTTTCTCATAAATACCCTAAAATTTTACAACTTTTCAAAAATGCTGGATATGTTTCATTGCACTTCAGGGGCGAGGGAAGTTTTGTCGAAGCAACTTTCGGCCAATTTTTTTAAAATCGTAATAGTAATTTGAATATATGCTCCTGATTCGAAAAACTGGACGGTAAATTTGTCAAAATTATTTGATTTGACACACAAAATCCTGTTTTTTTTTAAATTTGGATGTGTGTCAAACCTAGTGGTCCAGTTTTTTATGGTCGCGACTGTACAGCCTATTTAAAATATAATATCTAAAATAATATGTGTCTATATTTCGTTTATTTATTAATCCACACAAATTTGCAAACTGAACTTTTGAGCAAATTTTGAAACGTTATTAATTTTGAAATTGAATGCTTTAATAGAAATTGTGTACTTTGTTTTCAAAATTGATAAACCTTACAAATGTCACTATCAAATAACAAATAAAATACACGTGAAAAAACGAAATTATATTTTCAATTATTATACACATTAATCGTAATATTGGATGTGTCTTGGGCAGTTAAAAATTACTTAGATTGCTAACCGTTTTACTGCCACGTGATTCATCTAACTGCACCTCTGGAGCTCTGGAGCATTCGGACAAGTTTAGATTTAGATCCTGTTAGGTCCAAACATATCGGGTGCTACTTTGGGCAATTTCTCATATTTCGGGGCGTAAGATTGTCCCACACATTATTAATAATAATTTATTATTACAATCTGACATTTGTCGTACCAACGACTCATCCCTTAGAAAATTCGTCTGACGACTCTTTTTTATTTTTGGGATTCGTACTCTAAACTAACTTGTTTTATATAATACTACTTCATAATTCGGTAAATTAAAATTTATAAAAATAAAAGCACCACTCTAGAAAAGTCATAGTAAAAAATGTTGCTTAAAAATCTTGTTACATTAAACGGAAAAATTTGAGAACAAGAGGATAATGTTGAAATTTACAATATTGTGAGGATAATAATGTGTTATAGTGTCAGCGCACTAAGTGATTGTTTTGAAGATTTAAAAGTAGGAACTTAGCGTTAGATCGTTTCATGTGCCCCGAACAGCCTTAGAAAGAACTTTTTTTCAAGACCAATTGAACTGTTGCGGTCACGATATATATTTCATGTGCTACTTAATTTTAGTGACGTTTTAATTTTTTTATACGCGTGTTATGACCTGACTTTCTAATTTCTGAAAGTAGGCTGTTGTCCACTGACTTTGTACTTTTAATCCATTAAAATAAAGTCGAATTTTGAAAAAAAAAGGTGACTGACTTGAAAAATATAACTAAAGAAATACAATTTTCTTGTAAAATGTAACAAGTATGAAAAATGTGTGTCATATCTTGATAAACGTTTGTGGAAAAATCTTAAGTAGTCTTTTTTCTTCAATTATTTTTAAACATTTTTTATTCATTTTTTGTACTGAATCTTATGGTCCATTATATAAGTACAAATGTATTTAGTGAAAATTTATTATAGTGTATAAATCAGAAATTTGTAATAGTTGGCTCTAGTGCAGTCAAAACATGTTGAACTGGAAGGGCAGTGCGTTTTTGGTAAAATTAAACTCGCGTTGGTTGCTTTTTTCATTATTACAGCAGGCATTAGTCTGAAATCCTGTTTAATGGAAACTGTTAAAATTTTGATGTAACGCGATTAAGGGATTAGTAAGAGATTATGATTCCAAACGCAAAATCCAATTTCATTATAGTGTTCACTCGAAAATACTTGCCTTTAATTGATCGCTGCAACCCTTTGTGTCGTTTTTCGTCATGATTTTCCACGTATTTTTTGCTGAAGCCCCTCTTTTTCAGAAAGTATGTGTGGTACTCTTTCCATGTAATAACCCCATTTCTTGGATTCACGTCAATCATGGTAAACAAAGCATAATTGTTGCTGACTGCCGAGGAAATATGCTCAACAATTTTCTTTCTGATCCACTCCGCCAGCTCTTTTGAATCTAGCTTATAGTTTTTATCTTTGTCAGCTCTAAAAACACATCATTTTACGCGAATTTTGTTAGTTTTTTGACTTACCTTTTGAACACTTCTTGCAAAATTTCTGTCTGGTCCTTGTTGGCATTTTCGTTTGCATTGACATTAATTAAGTATTCATTTTTGTTGTTTAGTAAGTTGTTTTCTCCATCTTTGCGGTCCGAGTTGAAGTTGCTGTTTTTCATGCGAATTTCAAACGTGTCCTCCGGTTTGTGGATTGGTATTTCTTTTACAATTTTGATGGGTTTCAGTGGAACAGATAACATCCAAATTGTTAGAAAAAATATAAAATAACACAGTAAAGGGACGGTGTAGGACCACCTTAGTAATAAGATGACGTGTTTACAATTGTGAGCAAATTTCATTTTTTCATTCGCGGTCGAGTTTTCAGAACAGTTTTTCATTTTTATTTCGTATTGTTATCACATATTTATGTCACTGATTCTAACCACATTTTGAAAATAAATCAAATCTGTCAATTAACATTACACCGATATTCTTATCGCTCGCACACGACATACAAGGATATTTCTGATGTTAAACATATTGTGCAACTGAGGTTTAAGTAAATGGGTTACGATGTTTTCAGGCAGCGAAATGAAATCGATCAAATGAAAGTGTTACGCGCGCGCTCTTGTCTGCAGAACTTGAAATGCGAATTGTGTGTTGCATAAGTTAGATCAACAACACAAACAAGAATTTTTAAATTTTTATTACAAAGTTAGAAAAACTTGTAAACTTCTTGTTTTGTTGTGATTGATCCTATTTTATCTGTCGGCAAATTCTGTACACAATTTGAAATTTCTGTTAACACACATTACTAATTTTTACAAATCAGCGCAACGGTAGTCTACTTATGAATTCGGAATTTGGGGGTAAGTAGGTAATATACGATAGTAAATCGTTCAGAGCTAGAATGACTCGTGAATCGGTCAGTTTCAAAATATCATGTGGGGAACTAGATCGTTATTCATGTTAGCATTAAACCAGTTATAATAATTAAATTTCTCTGCTGAATCTTGTGGAACTAATTCGTGGTAAACTTTGTAGGGGTACAATCGTCCGTAACATCCTCTGACAAGTCCGCAGTGACAAGTTCGGAGTTTCCGTCATGCGATTTTCAACGTCTTGTAGGGGAGAGCGGGGCGGGTTTGGACAATTTTCAGAAAAAAAGAACAGTGAGAGAAGACGTTACCCAAAGACTTATTTAATTACCAACCCTCGGATTCCTTAAAATGCGGTATATACAGAAAAAATGGTGTTTTCTGACCATATAACTTTTTTCTTTAAATAATGTGCTTTAAAAATGCATATTTTGCATACTTTTCAATCGTGCTCCGTATTTACCGATTAAGTGCATATTTATGCATATTTTTGCAGAGTGTAGGCACTGTAAAAAGGTAAGTAAGTTATCAAAATTTTTATTATTGCTATACGTTTGAATTTGCACATTTATTTTTATTAATTCCAATTACAAACAATTGCTTTAATTTATTGATAATCTTATTGTTTTCAATTAAACTCGCCAGGTCGCCTGTGGAAAGAAATTTTCGAGAACTCAGCATATTGGGCCAAAATAAGTTGAAGGATTTTACTAATGCGAAGTTACAAAGTCTGCTCGCAGAATTTTTCTCCAACACCCAGTAAATGACAGATCAACAAGAATACTGTTTCGAATTGTGTGAAGCATTCCTCAGGGTCGATATTTTTTTATCAAAAAAAGCGTACAATGAATTCAGTTGCCGATGAGAGTACGTGTTTCAAAAAACATAGCAAAGTTTTCATCAAATTATAGGCCATAATCTAATTTATCATGTCGATGAAACAACAAATTCAAGTGGACGTTATGTCGCACTGAGAAATCTGACACTTCATATTTGATTAGCATAAAATCTTTGGAAAAGTCAAATAATAATACCATTATAAGGTTTATTCATGACATCAGGACGGTTTAACGAACTACTTTCTTCAAGAACTAAGTAGTTCCAATTGAAAAAAATTGTCGAAAGTTGTTTATACGGAACTTCCCTCGTTCCGCTCCTGAAGTACATACAATGAAACGTATCCAGCATTTTCGAATTGAGTTTTTTCTTTACGCAATTTTGTGATGTGGTGTGCAGTGTAATAGTAAAAATAACAGTATTGTATTCCCAAAATTTTCTGGAAAAATGGAATGAGTCGTTCCTGATTTAACCAATAAAATAAAGTGACTCATTAATTAATTGTTGTGAGCCACCTTGGGTAGAATTTATTAGGCAAAATTTTGAGATGACGTCATCAAATGTTTGGGGGGAATAAACAGATATATTTTGATTAACAATTTACCGTGCTTACAATAACTTTAACACGTTTTCAAGATTTCAAAGTATTCAGTTTTGGAATTCTTGATTTATTCAATAAAGTAAATTGACTGATTCATTAATTTTTTTGAGTCACCCTGTATAAGCAAATTTAAAAAAGAATGTCACGTAGAAATTTGTTTAATTTGACTGAGTTGTCTCCTCAAAACAGAAGACTAAAATTATTAATTAAGCCACAATGGGACAAAATGTTTTGAATATGATTATTATTATTCTTATTTGATCATAATTAAGTAAAAACGTGGGTATTCTCACATTTTCTAAAAAATGAGCTTCTTAATTTGATCAATAAAAAATTTGTCGACGGCTCAAAGTATAATCCGACCAAATCCAGCTCTTTAAACAAATTTTAAAATTTGATTTTACGATTTTCGTTTTATGAAACCGCTGTAAAGTAAAAACCAAGGGCATAAATAACACCCCTTGTCCTTCAGCACTAGGCAATAGCAATCTGAAGCTCAAGTGTTTATTTATGTTTATACATCGAAAGAATGCCACATAGAAATTAGTTTGTTTGAAAGAGTTTGTCTTCTTAAAAAGAGGACTAAAATTATTAATGTAAGCCACAATCGAACGAAATGCTATGAATACTGTAACTCTTATTTTATCATAGAGACGCGCGTATTCTTCACATGTTCGAGAAACCAAAACTATTCGACGCTAGGTATCTTTTCAAAAATTTGATATTGTAGCCATTGCATTCTTTTTCTTCAATTCTACCAACGTAGTGCGTAGTAATCGAGTCCATCAGCCGAATTGCCACTTTCATATTTTCTCGATGTGTTATGACCTCTAGAGTACGAAAAAAATGCTTTCCCCTTTCCGTCTGTTTGTCTGTCTGTCTGTCTGTATCCATTTTTTTTAGACAAGTAATCTCCGAACCTACTGGACCGATTGTTGTCACATTTTGTATGCATATTAGGAATATCATGTAGATGGTTAAACGTTAAAAGCTAACTAAAATCTGAATAATCATTTTCACCACTAATGGGATGACGTCATCTCCAAAATTTATAATAAAAAGTTTTTTTTAATTGCATAAAATAAGATAGGTACTCTTACACTTGTGGTGTGTGAATCCGTGTCGAATTTTCACCCTAAACATCCAGAATTTTTGAAAAAAATTCAAAACTGAATAACAATATTTTGCAATATAACTTTGAAACTGCAAAGCCGATTGCTCTGAAATTTGCTCTGAAATATTTTAAGGTTATCGTAGTCCTGGTAAATCGTCAAGCAAAGTTTATTCGTTTACCCCCTCCCAAGAAACTGATGACGTCATCTCAAACTTTTAATAAATCGTATCCAAAATGTGCAAAATATGATGAGTCTATACTTGTGATTTATCATCGCATTGAAAGTTTTTAAATTTCTTATACAGGGTGACTCATAAAAATTAATTAACGAGTCAATTTATTTTATTAATTTAATCGGGAACGTCCCACTCCATTTTCCGGAAAATTTGAGAATACAATAATACTCTTATCATTAGTATTACATTGCACATATCCAAAGCAATACATTGTCTTTGTGAAAATGTTGATGACGTCATCACAAAATTTTGTTAACGGAAAACTCATCACAAATAAAATTCGCATAATCAAATTTTATAATTTTTCGAAAAATCTGGATTTGTTTTATTGTATTTCAAGAGCGAGGGAGCTTCTGTCGAAATAACTTTGGACCAATTTTTCCAATAAACTTTCCAAATAATAAAACTGCTACGTCATACTCATTTAAACGTTTTTCATCTGAAGAACAATTTTTTGTAAACTATATCATATGCATTTTCGTCATCGCTAGATGATGAAGAGTCTCCAAAAATTTTTCGTTTTACTGGTTTTACTTTTTTTTTGATAGTTTAGGAGTTTCTTTTTTTCTCTTTGTCTTAGCTATTTCGTGGCTTTGGGGGGTGTCGATAGCTACAATTATTGTTTTTTTTTTTGAACAGCTTTTTTAGTGTTTTGGCTTCTGTAGGAGCTTTTGGATGTGCTTGAATTTTCGGAGGCGAAACAAAATTTTTCTTTGCGTCATCACCAGTTGAATTTATCGTCGAAGAAGCTTTAGAGAATCAAGACTATCGAAATGTATCCTTCTATTTCTCGCGAAGGTAAAGTAATGTTACGTTGAACAGGTATTTAAAATCGGCGTGGGTAAAACTCAACAATTTATTTCTCCGTAACTCAAATTGACACCGGCCTCTATTTAAACCCATACTTCTGCGATCGAGGTCTTTCTCGAATAACCATCGCGACTTCCGTTTCCAGACTTTTCGAACGCCGCTCGGCCGTACAAACTAGAAAGCTCTCGACGATTCATAGGCGTCGTACCGGGGTGGCGTATATGCCGATATTTTGACAAATATTTGTGCATATAAATCCGCTTTTTATATATTATTTCGTCTTGAACCTTAAATAATAATTTTATGTTTATAAAGTGTGTGATGAAAATTAATCTAAATTAATTTGGGAGATAGCTAATATATTCTTCATTAATCATTACACAGCAACTTGTGTTTCCACCTTTTGGGGATCATTCATGATGGCATTTTATGATCCTCAGAAAACCAATTTTCACTGCAATTTATACAACAATGTAACTTCTTTAGAATATTGTATAGCAGTATAAAAATTTGACACACGTTAAATACGCAAGGAAAAATTGTTTTGGTTTTTAAGTCTAAATTTCCAAAAAATAGCGCCTTTTTGTATTGACAGATTCAAATTCTTAATTATCTCATCTTACTACGAACGTCACGAAAATACAGAGCAGCAGGCTGGAGGACTTCGGTAACAACTTAAAAATTTTAAATAAACTTTACAGGTTCTGAAGGGATTATTTTAATGCCTTTGTATTCTTATTACGTTTGCCAAGTTTCAGTTTGTTTGAGTAATACCGACAGACACGGTAGCCAACAAAATTTCGTAACAATTCGTTTTAATAAGCGTTTGAAGTGTTTGCCAGTTACATACGTCGTAACGAAAGTTGAGACCATTTTCAGCTTTTTGTTTCACATTTATATAATACTTCAGAGGTCACTTGGGTGCGTGCGAACACTCTTGGTTATAGTAATTTTTGCAAATTCTGAGGAGGAATATAATGTCTGTTGTCGAGATTGAGGAGATCCATCTTTGTGTGTTTTTACGATCTTGATAATTAAACGATAGAGCGCTCAGAGCTGAATAATATGTTCTTATCTAAATGCTGGAAAGCTCTGGAGTTTTTTGTGGCGGTGGAATTTTCCACGTAGAAAAGAGCTTTTGTCACTGAAATGAATAACTGTGATGGACAAAACTAGGAACTGCAGTTAT